GAATTTCTTTCTCTATATCAGATTTCAGGTATAAAAATTTCTATAATTTCATGACATATGAAAAAAAATCACATGTGAAGAAAAAAAAATTAGCATTTTGTTGAAGACAAAGAACAAATATATAAATAATGGAGAATGATAAGCAAATTGTCATCAACAGTCCCATATCCACCTTCAAAATTTCATCGATTTTCCTTTTAATGACATATATACAAACTTTTAAGAATTTCACCCAGGAAATGTATTGTAGGTGTGCAAAGAAATTGTATGGGATGAGGTGTGTTGGCACAGTATAGCTCACCGGAGATAATATGAGGTCAAATGTATTTTTTTTATTTTCTTTTTTTTTTTTTTAACTATTCAACTATCGTTTTTTTTTTTTTTTTTTTTTTATGAAATATGTGTTTTCGAACTTCAAACTTGTGAAAAAGAAACTGTACAAAATATTTTAATACACTTAAAATTTTAACTTGCACAATATACCGTATAATTTTAAACAGTAAATTGAAAAGATCATTACCGTATATCACTTTATATTCAACACTGATAATGACCAAAAGGATCCAATCAATAGGCTTCCATATATATTGAATTTATTGAAAATCAAATTGACACCATAACATTTAATGCAGAAGAGCTTTAGAAAAATTGTCTCCTATTACATAAAAGTATCAAGATAGGGCATAAAATTTTTGAAAGATACTCAATTTTCTTTAATCTTTTATCATTCTTTTTTCAAAACTATTCATAACCATGAAATGAAAATAACATGTACCACTCATTATAGTCAATACATTGTTCAGAAATGCATATATATATGTACCATGCAAGACACTGAATCAATATAAAAAAAATGAAACAGTTAAAAAAAAAAGAAAAAGAACATTAACAATACCTGATATGATGAAGAATAACTATACTAATTAACAAAGCAATCATTAAAAAAACAAAACATATTATCTCCATATGCATTAAATCAGACACCACCAGCCAGCAAGTCTTGGCAAAGTATGGTAAAAGGAATTCTAGGGTGCTATAATAAGTCAATTTCTTAAAAAATATATCCATAATGACTTGAAATGGTTGAAACAGATAAACTAAAGAAGTCCTAGCTCAATGTTACATACTTTCTATCTGACAAAATATTGTAAATTTCATATAACTAAGAAATGGAAAACACTTTTCATTTGTATCTTTTCCAAGTGTTTACAATGTATAATAAAATGTTTTTGTTGAGGAAGTATATTCATTATTGCTTCAAAATAGGGATTAGGAGTAAAAAGGCTGTGATGTGAATATATAAGTTTTGGAAATTACTGGGTAGAGGGAAAAAGTTACCCAGATCTAAATAGGTTGCTGACAGCTTTCTGTGTTTAAGGAAAAAGGCAACAACTCAAGAGTTGAAAGAAAGACTCTGGTATCAGCATTACTTCTACGACACCTTCTTTCACACACAATCACACATGTTTAATGTTGATTTTAAAGACTGTGGAATATATCAATAAAATCCCTCACATTAAAAATATGTATTTTCCAAATTGATTTGAGGGTCAAATAACAGGCTATTTATCTGATGTTCCTGCTGTGTATATCTACTGCAAGTCTATGATGCAGTCATTTATAAAACCATTTATGGAATTCCCTCATTCCTCTCAAATACTCCTTTTCATCAAGTACTTCCCATCATCTACCTTTCATCTCGGCATTTGATTTTTTTCGATATTCAATTTAATGAAGGTTTTTCTACAACCTTCAAAATTCAATACACAATGAATTTATTTACAAAATGTACAAGAAACAGGCTAAATCAAAACAGTGTCTGAATTTACACACAACGAAACAGCACTTTGACACTTTGTAATAATAATGATGGCACTTTATGTACAATCATGTGAAAAATTTACTTTTGATAAATAATAATTTAATGTTCATAAAAGCAAATCCTTAGGAAATTTAACAGATTATCAAGTGAATATATATTGAGAAACATTTCCGAATCTTATTAAAACAGTTATTTTACAACACTTTTGATGAAATATCAGACCTGTGACAGAAATTAACATATTTGATGACTTCAAATATAACAAAAACAAAATCCTCTTCCTCCTTCTTTACAGCATGTAGTTCAACCACAACTACCAGTCACACTGAACTTTACCTGGAATATTCCCATTGGGCAATTAGTTGATGACACTGAACCTTAGCTATGCCTATCAGTTATTGATCATCTGATGGATCATATGGTTAGATTCTGTTCCCAATTTGAATATTCAGTTTCGACTAACCCGTATATCATAATGAAAGGTGATTCTAACTGTACAAATTATTTAGGTGTCTTAATTTAAATTGGTTTGTCCACTTCAAAATGCAATATTTCTTGGAGTAGACATACACTTTCAAAAGTTTGTGGTGTAATTTTTCAAACAGCTGAGAAGCTAATACAAAAACAGTACAAACACATCCACAGCAAGGCAACAAAAATGGGTGGCTAGTCACAGGTGTCTTAAGATTCAGCACAAACATTAAATGTAACTTTTAGTATCCTCATGTAGTGATTAACAGCTTTCATATGAAACACAAAGAAATCTAAAACTTGTTTTACACCATAGAGGGATTACAAATTTTCAGATATCTTAACAATACTTGTTAGTTTTTTACTCAATTGACATGGAGGTGGGGGTGGTCAAAAAAAGCTCTTTAGTTTAAATATATACTTAAAGAAGAAACTCTTTGTATGTATTATTGACAATTGGTTAAAGATAATGGCTAGTCAGAAATCTCAATCAGTCCACTAGGTCTGTTTATATCTAGTATCTACTTTTTAAAATGATTCCTGGTTTCAATTCCTCAAAATGTAAAAGTATGCAGCCAAGCAAAATAATATGCAAAGTTGTTTTTTTTTCACTCAGTCTTAAAAAAGGATTATTACAGAAGGAAGGCAAGAAAACTAGAGAACATTATAATTTCAAAATATTTGCATAAGGTAGGACTAAACATAGATTAATGTATACAATAATGTTTCATGTTGAATCTGTACAGAGATAATTACAAAGCATCTCATGAAATGGGTGAATGAATGATTAACTTGTGTACATAAAATATTTTCTAAATTACAAACTGATATTTTTCCTGCAAAAAAAGTAATTTATTACAATAAAATAAATCTAATATTTGAATACATTAATTATTCACTTATTTACTAATGATAAATTACATAATGCCCATCCCAGAAAATAAAAACATACATGGGGAGGAAAGGAGGCAGATTTTTTTATGGCCCCTGCACCCGTTTATGTTTCCTTAGGCCTCACGACACAAAAATTAATTTTAGATCCCTTTTGACTAAAATATTATCAATAAAAAATGCCTCTGTCCCTCACCCCTGTATCTTCTTGTCTGGAATGACCCTGAATAAAAAGCACTTTATACAAACAAAGAATATACAATAAATCTTATTGTACAGCTGTAACATTACCATTAACAAAAGGATCTGTACACTCTCATACGCTCTCGGACACACTATTCATTTAATTTTAACCATTTCTACTTCCCTGTCAAATGAATTCTAATATTTCTTTAGTTAGAGGTAATATGCTACAACATAACTCAACTGATAGGGGCATTAGATCTCAAAGCTTAAAAACACTGAGATGCAGGCAAATAATTATCAGTCCTCAACGAGGTTTTGATAACTTTGTCTTGCTTCCTTTTGTCCATTACCTTGTCTTATCATAAGCCCACCCATATATCAATACATATTCTTCAATACTGTTGTTCAGAGCAGCGATAATCAATAAGATTTAAACATTCTGTAATAAGCGCATTTGCTTACTTTGTCTGAAACTTGCAGAATTATCGTAATTAATCTTATAAACGCCACCCATAATCACTCTTATTACAAAGAAAAACCATATATATATATAATACAACTTGACAGTGTTGTAAAAAAAAAAATTTCATACATGTGCGGTCAAAGTCCAGAACAAGGCAAGTGGTTCATCCATAACCGAATGAATGAAAACAAAATTACATCAGGAACATAAACATGTCTATTTGACAAAAGACTTTTATATGCTATAATTTTCTTAATACTTCATGGTATCTGTATGGATAAATATATCATTATGTGGTTTTTTATTCATTACATATAGATTCCACACAGATACCTGAAATATAACCTTGATGAAAAAAAGTAGTTATTTATTAGATTGTTCAAATTAAGCAAAAATAATTTTAAAAATTATTTTAACCAGAACATTAAGACAAGTGTTTCTACTTGTACGTTGAATAAGTGAGGCATAGGCAGGCTGAACAGGACAGATCTAATGCTAGGGATATGGTATGACTTCCAAGTTATGAGGTACACGGGTAAAAAGAACACAACATAGCAACTGCCAATCACATACATTTCAAGGTCACATCATCACTTCAGACACACATACTTCGTTTTCCTTGTTAGTATTACGGATTTTCTTTAACTTTACAAACATGTTAAAATAATTACATTTTGTTGTAGTCTGAAAACAATTATCAAATTAACCTTCAAAAATATTCATCAATGCCTGAAAACTTTCATCTTAAAAGCATTTATGATTGCACAATATACTTGCTGTTTTTCAGCATATCTAAAAAAAATTTGTAAACATTTCCAAACAAATGTCAATTTGTAAAAATATCTCATTTATCATATCCTGAAAACTTATCTCCTAATTGTCCATATTTACCATTCCCTATATCACCATCTGAAAACATTTATCATTGCTAGCCTAAGTTTATCATTCTGCCAACATTTATGCCCCTACTTGTCATTATCAAACACACTAAACACACTTTTGAAAAACTTCATGAAATGTCTGTGGTTTGCAGTTTGACAGATTTCATTGGTTATCAATGCTGAATTAGCTATTTAACATGCACAGGGACATGAAGATGAGAAACATACACAAGATTTTAACTATCACACAGCCTTCAGTCTGTCACTCAGTGTCAAGCTTGCTTGAAAGGCAAACAGCACACACATAATTCTCTCCCTTTAGTGTTCCAAAATCTTTCCTCTTCACACTTCATTTGCATAATAGAAACATCCTTGTCAAGCAGCCAATCACAACACACTTCATGGAAGATACTTGATTTCTATTGGTGAAAGAATCAGCTGTTCATACTTCTATGTTCCTTGTACCATTCCACAAACTCGTCCAATAACACTGGCCCTGTGAAACAGGAACACAGTATTTATTAAAAGATGTACGAGTGAATGGAAGAAATAAGATCAGTGGTTTTAAACATGTTTAAGATCAGCAATCATGCTTCAGTGCCTCTGGATCAAACCTGGGACTTTTGGACTTTTGGAAAAAAAGTTAGAGATTCATATGACAAATTCTGGTGATTTAATTAAAAGTATCTTCCAAAAGGTTCTATACTCACATTATCACCAGCGTATATTTCATTATCAAGTACTATACTCACATTATCACCAGTGTATATTTCATTATCATGTACTATACTCACATTATCACCAGTATATATTTCATTATCAAGTACTATACTCACATGCTCCATCCTCATCATAGTTTGACAGATCTGGGAGGATGGTTCTACTGAACTCCAGTATATTGCACCACTGATCCTTATTTATCACTTTGTATTTAGATTGCTGTGAAGAAAACAACATCCTTCCTTACAGTAACAAAAGAGCAAAAATTCAAATGCAAAGATTATGTTTTGAATACATTCATATCAGCTTTCACCTAGAAAATAAACAAGATACTTCAGTTCTGAACATCTACACAACATTTCAACAAAATTACGTCTGAAAACAAATTAGACTGAACAATGACAGATAATTACATCATCATGTGACTTTTCCAAGGAAAGCATACAAAAACTACTTGTAATGTGACTTTGGCATTAGTGAAACAATCTAATATCTCATAGAAGACACTGTCTGATGTCAGACCCAATACTTGTTTTAATTTCTGTACATAATTGTGGGGAGATAAAAGTAGTTTAAAAGAAGACATCAAAACTTACCTCTAGAAACTGATGAAAAGAACCAAACAATGACCAGTGCTTCCCCAAGACAAGGGCTAACATAGCCTTTGCTGTATCTATATCCATACTTCTCTGGTCTTTGTCCTGATTTGGGAAACACGATGACAATGACTTTATTACGCACATACATAATAAAATTATGACTTATTTATTTTGCTTTCTGACAGGCCTTAGTTAAGCATTTAAAGTCCTGTATTGATATTTGCAGGTGCATATGTGCTGACTGAGCAGATTGTACTGATAAGCAAACAAGCTTTAAACTGTTACAATTCAGTGGAAACAATAATTTTATAACAAATTTTCATGGAAATGGGGCTTCATTTCTGTTTTTGTAAGACATACTGTTTTTGGGAATAGTTACGAATCTTTACTAACAGGTTACATGTAAATGAAGAGCTGTCACTTTAGACATAACGCCAATGTGAATGAGACTTTGAGAGCAACTGTTCAGAAACAGTTCAGCACAATGGAAATATAACAGAATAAATCAAGTCAGAAATATCACTCACAACAGCTTCAGGACCAGATGACACCAGGAGAGGACAAACCAGTAGACAGTACTAAATAAATTAAAGTAACTACTATGATGCTGTTGTAAGTGATATTTCTGACTTGATTTTTCCCACTGTTCAATCACTCTGCATGAATGTATAATACCTCAAAATTTCAGATGAACAACGAAGGGAAACCTTGAGAAGTATCATATATATCTAGCCTATGGAAATGGATGCTGTGTTCATATATAGGCAGTGTGTAGTAATGGGCCAAAAAATCTATCTTATGCACTTTATACTTACCCTTGCAAAATCAAATGCATATCTATAAATTTCTTTAAATTGTGTCTGATCATCCAAAACTGATCGTAAATAATCTAGCTGCATCTGTAGTTTACTCTGGCAGTCACACCTGTAAAGATGAACATTTTGATGAGTATGATTAATTAAGCCTTAATATTGCCCAATGGCATTACCTTGGAAAGAATTAAAACCTTATCCCCATCTTGACTTATAATTCACAATCTTGACTTATAATTCACAAACAACATAAATGTACACTCCATAATGTTCTCAATCTCATCTAGTATACTTCTAAAGAAACAAAAAAAAATACAGTTCTCTGGTGACTCACCAAGGTGAACCCATCACACAAGCATAAATTTAAAGGATATAGCAGTGTAGGAGATAAAGTCTAGACAATTTATTTTCTTTGATGCAGGTCAAAGGTCAAAATGGGGTTCAGAATCACTTGCTTTTTATACGCAACACACTGTCTCACCAAGGTGAACCCATAACTCATGTATGAAGTTCCAGGAACAAGTAATGTAGGAGATAAGGCATGGACAATAATTTCCTTTGATGTAGGTCAAAGGTCAAAATGTAGGTCTAAGTAATCTACTTTAGATACATGACACATTGCCTAACCAAGGTGAACCCATATCCCAAGTATGAAGTTCCAGTAAATAGTAGTATAGGAGATTGAGCCCTAACAAGATAATGGAAGGATTGGATGAAGGAAGGACAGACAGATGGACACAATGCAAAAACTAAAGTCCTTTGGTTCCTGGTGCAGGTCTGAAAAAAAGAACACTTACTGTATTTCTGTCATCCCTTTCAACCATTCAGCTTTTGTAAAAAATCCCATGTTTTTGGCACCAAGTTTCCAAGCTAAAGACAGCATCACAATCTGCCAGAAACACACAAATGAAAATAAACACTCCAAAATGAATAGAGGTTATATTTTTTTTTAGCCATTACCTTTTTAGTTGTAGAAGTTTTATCCCTTTTCTGACAAATTAAAAACCAACAGATAAAAGTTGTAAGTAACTTTTCAACATATCCATTATTGTTTTATGCAAAAGAAGACATATTTGCTTATATTTCAACATAGAAACTGACATACTTTCATGATTAAATTCTTATTTTAAGATAAAATTTGTACAGCTCACATTTTCTGGTTCTACTCCTATGTCTTCACAGAACTTCTCCATTCCCTCCGGTCCAAGTACATCTTCATCAGCACCTACAACAAAAGAAAGTCAATGTCATATAAAACCTAACATATTGCTATCTACCTAAAAACTTTATAAAACTAGAAAATGACTGTGAGACATGAATGCCCCCGCTCCCCCATGTCATGAGGTCTTTCCATACTTGATATTTGTATGAAGTTTCATGAAAATTGCCTTCCAAATGAAGTTGTTAGGTGGTATATACTGATTTGGGACGCGACGGACATGGGCAACGCTATATGCCCCCGACCATAAATGGCGGGGGCATAAAAAAAACAAGGAGTTGCAAAGCATGGCATTATCCATCGCACCCAGCTGTTGGTGTGAAACCCAAATATGATATATATATATACTGGTATAACAATGTGTGACGTCACTCAATTATGTACTGCTACCATCACTTGAAGATATAATACAGTGAATGTGCTATTGCAAAATGTAACATCTTGTTTTGTCAGTTATCAATTAAATTTCATTGCATCTCCTCAGCTCAAGATTAATACAAAGTATTAGTAATTAAGTAATCATATAATACAAATTAATATCCTCCGAAAAGTGAAATAAAAAGAAAAAAATATTCAAATTAACTTGAACCCTATTCAATCAACAAATGCATTTCAGCTATCAAAATATCTATCCTGCTACAAGTCAAAGAGTACAAAAGTCTTCCTTTACCTGTAAGTCAGAGTCAGAAAGTGGTCTTTATAAGAGAAACAAAATGATCTTTTGTAGGTAATCAGACTTCTTTACCAGCATGTGTAAACATTACCTGTGTATTCGTGAAACCAAGCAACACATCGCTTAGAACTGAAAGCACTGTCTGTATCACATGATCTTCCATCCTTTCTTGCCCTGCAATACATCATCAAATCAAAGATGAACTCACAGTACAACCATCATTACACTATGTTACATAATTACAATTGAAACACAGGTATCCAAAATTAAATATCAAACTTCTTCTGATCCACTTATAGGATCTACCCTTACTTAGCACATTAACTGGTAAGTCACATTAATTACATGTTATTATTCAATACTTCATAATACTGTTCTGACAATAGCAGGACAGTCAAAAATACTTAAAATTCTGGCATGATTCCCATAGTCAAAAAAATATAACCTCAAAAAACATTTTGCTTAGATGAGATAGAGTTAAAATGTACTGTAATACAGTCAAAGATAAAACCCTGGGACAAAAGCCTCACCAGCTAGCAACTCTTGCTTTCTTTGTTCTAGAATCTTCCATTGTAGGTGATGAACGTTTTCTCCTTATGGGCATGCTGAAGTAATTCTCATGCACTTGGCCACCAAGCACTTCCTGTGAAGCGTGTCCTTCACCTATGCTCTGTAATTAAATGCCTCTGCTATAAATGCATCTAAATACTGATAAAACTGAACATTTCAGTGTTGTCATTTCATCCTGGAACAAGACAACAAAATTTGCATGATGGAAGAACATCAATTGAATTTACATTATCTACTTCAACACTGGTTTAAAAACCTGAAGACAAATATAGATTTTATTTTCAATTTGGAAAACTTATGATTTAGACAAAACTACTATATTGAGAAGTTTTTTGTTTTGTTTTTATGATTTTCAACTTTCAAACTGTCAAATTCAAAAGCCAAATATTGGAGCAAAAATAATGATCCTAGGCTTGTAAAACTCGAGGCCAATCTGCCTTGTCTAGTAGATTGGTATAGAGCTCTGAGAAACTTAATGAATATTCATAAGAGTTTGACAATACTACAAGCATTAAAATATGACTTTATGATGCAAATCATATTAATATTTCGGTGCAAGGGAAATAATTTTTGTTAAAATGGATGGATAAAGCATAACAAAATCTTTCATATATGCAAGGTTTGTATGATCACAAAATCATGTATTAGTTTGCATTAGATAAAAACAGGATTAGGCGTATATTAATATGAAAATAGATATGTAATTATATATGTTAATCTGATATTATTTGTAATTATATTGGAAATCTTTTCAAATATTTGTTCTTGACATTTATCAGAATGGTATCTGGAAAGCTCCCCAAAATCAGATTATTGTTTTACAATGTTCATTTAAAATATCTGCATTAGGGATTATAAAAGTAATGATGTTCCAAAGAGATTAAAGGTGCTATGTTTGAGGAACTTTAACCAAGGTATGAAGAATAAAATAAGCTCCAGTGCCCTTCCCTGGAGAACACCTGAGTATCAATTAAGATGTTTAGCTCACAGCTGAATCAAAAGGAGGAGAATGATCATGATCATTATGGCCTTTAAATTTCGACTATTTTCAGGATCTTTTGGTTAGGTTGATTTCTTAAAATTTAAAGTATCCTACCTCCAAAGCCAAGATGTATATATTTTTTCCTTTTATGAAATTGCTTTTTCATACAATATACACACCAGGGTTGTAAACTTATTCTGTAGAGGAGGACCACTTTCTTTATCTTCCTCCAGAATGCAGTAGCTAAAGACAAATACCTAAAAAAAGGAAATACTAATTTTAATGATTCACAATTACAACAGGCTACAATATAAAATTTGTTAACTTTTGAACAATTTTGCATAATTATCAGAGTTTATCTTCTGCCATTATACATGTTTCAGCTAAATAATAGATTTTGACATTCAAATTTAACCTGACACATAGTTTAAAACTTCCACTTAAAGATACTGTCCCAACAAAAGCCAAAAGTATTCTATACAATAAAATGTCAAACATTTTTTCACTGAAAGCTATAATTAATCCTGTGAGTCAAAACCACACTTTCAAGGCTTCACTGAAACTCCTGATACTTCCAAATCATATGAAATATAGTTATTTCACAAAGATGTTTGCATAGAATGCACTTATTTTTGTGTCTTTCAATGCAATATTTTAAGACATTTTTTCATTTTAAGCTTCAGACTTTTCTGAAAAACACTGTATGCAAACAGTCAAAACAGATTCTTTTTTAATATGATAGAAGGCCTTCAACACTGAATAATTGCTGATCTTACAACAATGTATCAGAAGATGCATTTTATGGGCTCCCAAAGAACCTCCTCCTAGCCATTGTTATCAGTTCATGCCTACATATAGTTAGCAATGCAAATGATAGTAACAAAACCTGCCTTGTAAAAAATCATTACCATCAAAAGGCTATTTTAGGTCATTCTATGCCTTTTATAGAAACAATGACTGAGATTTTAATACGAAAACAACCCCATTACTCAGCCGGATCTTGGCATTGTTTTCAACTTGAATAATATGGCGTTGTGAACAGGAAATTATATGAATGGAACGATAAATCAAAGGTAGTGTGACATATGAGCATAAAGTTCTGGAATCTAGTCATGAAATTAATCCTGGTTTTGGCTCAGTATTTATATAACCCATTACAATTCCACGTACAGTTGGGTTGTGCGTTGATGTCAACAAATTGATCTACATTAAATGAATAAGTGCAACAGCGAGAAAAAAAATCGATAATAGAGGACATTGCATGGAAATCAATACAAGCCTACGACGCATAAGGTATATTCTGGTCAAGTTCTGATGAACTTTTCGAGTTCACAAATGACACTTGAACCTGAAAGGGTCATTCGTCTGACAAGTCAAAAGAAGAATCATAAGGAAATTTAAGCAAAAGTTTGGACAGATAAAACTCACCGTGAAGTTTTGAATTGCATTATGCTTCATGTAGGTGAATAGAACAAAAACTGAAATATGGAAATACCGTCTTTCATACCTACCACAAACTGAAAAAAATGTCAAATTGTTAATACTGCCGTTTCTTTGCTGCAGCGTTTGCGGAACGGAAATGAACCTGTGCCTCAACCTCCTTTCCTACGTGACTTTGCAAAGGGTATGGATCGAGGTTGCCTTCAAACCGAACGCTGTTGTAATCGTTGCGTTTATTGGTCAATATCCAGTAGCGTCCAGATCAACCAATCGAAATATATGTTACATTGTTACTGTAGCTGCATTCCTGGGCAAGTGAAAGCTGCTTCACATGTAGTTAAAATTATGTGAGAACTCTTTTATATATGTATAGTATTTTGTAGTTAATTTGATTTTGTTGAAATGTGTGATATGGTGCTTCAATCTAACTATGATTGATAAATGGACATGTTGAGGAGTAGTTATTCTAAGAACATTGACTCGGTGTCTTGGCTGAAATGTGTATTGAGTAATTGGAATTTGTTGCAAACTTGTATAAAATATAATTTTTGATAATAGTTTAAAAGACATTTCTTTATTATTAAAATTGTATCAAGGGTCTTAGTTAGTTGAAAACTAGAATAGTTAACTCGGTTTTTTAACCGGAATGTAGACTAAATTTACATAGATATTCAATGTAGAAATAAACAACACACTGTAGGTCTTTGCTATTCTTGAATCTTGTTAATTTCTGTACAGGAATGTTTGAAATCCAATCAACGTTAAAATGCCAGGGGATTCAAGGAAAGAATACCTGTTGGCAACAACAGCCAACTATTTTGGTGTGCCACCCACAGATGGCGTCATCACAACTCTTGGGGATACTCCTTCAATGAATAGTTTCCTAGATGATGGAAACGTTCCAGTATTGGTGGCACGACCAGATGCTCGTACCAGTGGGAGACGTCTGCTTCTTTCAAACAAGGTGATTAGTTTTGGACATGCAAATTGTTAAGGCTTTCTACATGTGTATAACACATTTCAGTCCTATACTTGTTTTCTTTTAACCTGAGTTTCTCCTGTCTTAAGCACTAGTAAGTTCTTTTATTGAAATGGTGAAAATATTTTGATCATGCCAGATATCCACAGTACATGAATTTGTCAAATTGTTTTGAAGTTGGGATGGGGCCAGAAAAAGCTTGAATAGCTATTTGTAATTATTAAGTTTAAAAACCATCAGTGTTAAGAGTGATCTTTCTTCTCATATTTGTTCTTCAAAATTAATGAACTTTTGTTTTGTTGTGTAGTGTCTGTCAGGTGATTATTTAGGTTCAAAAGGTAAAAAGCAGACATAGAGCAGCTTATTACTCCTTTAGTGTTGTTCTCTATGGTAATCCTTGATTTATTTCACAGGTGATATTGCTACCATATAATCTACTTTGTCAACTGGCCATAGATCTTACAAAGAAGGAGTTGGTTGATAAATGCCTTTTTATTTTTCAGATTGAACCCAATGATCAGAAAGAAAAGGTGATAGTTTTCTTTAAAATCCGTCCTGATGTGATTACGCCCGATGACCTACATACAAACATCATTGTGTCTACAATGGTAGACTCCCCACTCAGCACTCTCTACCATGCTGTCCAGAAGGTTTACGCTCCTCTTCTTCTTGAAGATGGTAAATGGAGTCGCAATCTTGACCCGAAACTGCAGAGCTTGATAAGCGAGCTGGAGGCAGGACTGGGGAGTGCTATCAGGAAGCAAGATGCTTCCTTCAGTGGCAAATCAAAGGATGGTGACAACTTGGGATGTAAGTAGACTATATCTTGTTATAAGTCCATTGAGCCCACACGTTATCTAAACGGGGCTTATGTTGGTCTTAGTTGCAAATAAGTTAGTATGTCTCTTTGAGTGAATGAGGTGCATTATCTATAAACAGCTATGATGTTGATACTGCTGTACCGCTGACATCCCACATTGAGTATTTTAACTTCAAGTACAGAACATTTTCAGGATGGATGCTCAGTCACTGCATGTCCAGCTCATCTATAGTAAACAACCATGTTTTCCATTTTATTGATATTCAGAAATTCTGATTCATCAAAAATGTAACACAGAATTTTTTGATTGGACAATCAGTTGTTTATAATAAAGGACTATATAACCAAAATTTACTATCTTCTTTGCATGTGTATGAAAATTTTGTGTATCAATAAAAAAATGTTTATTTTGAATTTGCAGCTATCCTGAGTCCTTCGGATGAGTTTCAGTACTGGGCAGATCAGGCTAGAAGTAGTGAACGGGCAGCTAACTTTGTAGACTTGTTCAAGCCAATTTCTAAAGAGTTTGGGGGATTAGATGCCATGGGACTCCAGGATGTAATGGAACTGGTAGAAATCACACAAGATACACTGGATGAAGTTTGGAAAGGAGAAGACAGAAACCCATACCCAGAGGATAGAATGAAACATCTTATGGACATCATAGGTTTGTTTAATTCTAACAAAATCAAACCTTGATTTGTAACTCTGTCTGTAGTTTTAGCACATTTTACACTGTTGTTAAATCTACTGGAAAGTTAATACTGTTCAATAGAGTTCAATAATTGAGTCTATAGTAAGACATATTTCAAAACAAGAATTCTTTTCAGACATTTCATCTCTTATCATGGATAGTCATAATGGCTAACACAGTTTTGAAGTCAATATTCTTAATTTCAGAAATGGAATAAATATTTTTAATGTTTATAGGTTGTGAAGATTTCTTGACTCCAGGGAAACAAGGACTTTCTTTGTGTATCATGATATGCAACATTAACTAATTCAGGGTAATCTAGAGTTAGAGTATCTGTATCCTGAACCATATTTTGTTTTGTACATCAGGAGGTTCCCTGGGGCGGTATGTCCAGAGAAAGCTGGCAGAAGAAGACCTTTGGCAGGGTGATTACGGACAAGTCAAGGAATCTCTAAGGTCAGGTGTAGCCATTTGTGAACGCTTTGTTGGAGTGTGTGAAACCTTGACCACTCAATTCTGGAAGAACTTTCGTCCAAATCCCTGGAAAGGAGAACGATTCACACCTGAGAACCTTAAAAAGCTGGCACAGAGATTAGAAGAGGTTTGTTGTAATAATTTTGATTTACAGCTATTGTCATCTAAATTTATTTTTTTTAAAGAATTACTTTAAAATTAAGAAATAAAAAAGGATGAGTTCCAACTCCTGCAGTCAGGTAGCCATTAGTATCATGCATTATTCTACTTTTTGAAATAGCTGAATGGACGAAAATTACTAAATGGTTACTAACTTCAAAGGTTTAATGATGTAAAAACATATTTCTTTTGTTCTGTTGATCCTGAGTCATTGTAGTTAGGAAGATTAGTGTCGTTTGTTATATTTGCTTAGAAATTATGCTAACTGATTTTAATTTGCTAAGAAAGGGTTTTCTGTAAATATAAATAACAAAAGTAGAAATCCTTTAAAAATGTGAATTTGAGGTTTAAGTGATACATTTAACTGTCATCTGCTGTAACACATAATTACGCACTCCTTCAAACTTCTGTAAACAGATTTTGACACTGAGGATTGTCCATGAACAGCAAGTACAGTTGTTGAGCTCCCAGGAGCAGAAAGAACTTCGTACGACTGATGCCTTCTCCCCGTTCGTAGGCTTGAACCCCCTTCAGTACAACCCCTACACCATGCCACTCTGGAATGCTGCTGTTGCTCAATATGATAAAATCATGTCGCCTGTTGAACAGAAAATAGCAGGCAAACTGAGAAGCCAAGTAAAGGCTCTTGAAGGTTACCCACAACAGGTAGGAGAAATCACTTGTTTTTACTTGGTTATCTGTCACAATCAATTGAGAGAGGTGATATGTGAAAACCAAGAGTTCTTTCACATTTTGTGGTTCATTAGACAGAATTATTTCAGTTTATAAAGTCTGAAAGCATTTTGAATCTTGATCTTGCCATTGCAGTTGTTGAGAGAGTTTCAGCGGTACAAGGAACTCATCAAGAGACCGAATATCAACAAAGAAATGGTGTCAGAAAGGTGAGGGTTAAAAAATAGATTTTCTTGTTGAATTACACATATCAATTTTCAATAACTTTCGTATTATGTTGGCAAAGTCCTGAATAATTGATTTATCAGTTTGAATGTAGTTCTCAAATTTGGTTTGGAAATTTATTCCAGATATGTACAATTGATGATACAGGTTATAACAAATGTTATTTCAAATTTGCCCCAAGAACAGTCTTGTGAGCTGTGTGTTTGAATTATCTCCCTTGCATATATATATTGAGGAATCACCAATAACATTTGAGCTAACTTATTCATTGAGTCAGTTTCCATAGCTAGTAATACATACCTGTGCATCTTGTTTGAAAAAAGAAGTAATTTTTGAAGTTAATATATACCCTATATCCCAAAATATCTATAAACATGTACTTGTGAATTGTAGAGAGACACTGCTGGGCCAACTGAATGTCAATGTTAAAGAGGTGGAGAATGATTTCCAGAAACGTACTGGACAACGGCCGGGAGGCAAAGGAGTTCCTAAGGGCAAGAATTTGCCAGAGATTGTTAACAACATGGTATTTGTTAGGCAACTTGAGGCACGGGTAAGTCAAACAAAGGAGAGGTAGGGAATTTCGGTAGAAAATTGGAAAAAAGGAGCAATGGAGGAAAAGGAGATTCAATGGATAGGAGTTATCAGAAATTGTCTACAATGGGGCACAAAACTAGGGAGATTAAGTTAACATCACATATTAAAAAAGTGATCCAATTTGAGTGTCGTAGATGTTGTGAGATTTTTTATATGTGCATGCAAGATAAGAAAAGGAGACACTTTGTTAGATTTTTAAACATTACATTGTACATATATATGTAAGGGATGTAAACTGTATGTGTTTTCTTGGTTAAAAGATACAAGACTTTCCTAATGGACAGAGGATGAAAAATCTACAGAGCAAAGTTTTGTTGATATTGTACATTGTATACCTTACTTTGCTTACGCCTGAACATCCATATAGAAAATCCGTATCACTGTCCATTAACTAATTTCCTTGACGATGGCTTAACTACCATCAAATGTAATTACCAAGTTCATCATTTTTCTCATTTCTTTTTTTTTTATGTGAGTGATTTTATAGGATAAATAAAGTTTATTTTCTGTTTGCTCACAGCTTTTGTTCTTATGATTTATCTACATCCAGTAAAATAAAGTATAAATATTCTGACAGTATGATGCTACATTTGAAATCTACTTCAAGGACTTTAACTTTACATTCATCCAGGTTGAAGAAACCATTAAGACAGCTGAGACCTTACTTGGAGATCTCTCTGGGTTTAAGAAGTTCAGGAAGGATGCACAGGAGCTTCAGGACGAGTTACTGAACTGGCGAACAGAGACTTATGATGACTGGACACGTGATATGCTTGACCGCATCAATGACACCAGGGAACCACTCAGGTAGTCAGGTTTTATTTGTCTGTGTCTCATACTTGCTCAACTGTCTCAACAGTCAAATTAAAAAAAAAAGATTTTTTTGAATTATTCAGCAACTTAAATGACTACCATAGCAATGTAGTGAAGGCATTAATTGAAAGTGAAAACAGGGATTTAGTGACAAATTTTCAATTATGTTTCATATAAGTCTTTAATTTATTATTATCTAGTCCAATATCAGAAATGTAAAAGCCTTGCTGCAAGTGTATATCCCCCGATCTATGTCTATATCCATTAAAATTTTTCTGAAAGTCAGAAATTCTTCAAATTTCATATTACGATATTGTTAAGTGATACATTTGTCGAAGCTCATTTTTCTTGGTTTTACAAAGAAATATTATTTTGTTGATACTTAATTTTATGCCATACAGCTCAATATATAGATGAAAAATTTACTTATGCTAATTTCAATATTTTGTGTATATATGAATTCTTGGATTACACATACTCTTGAGGTCCATGAAAATTAATTACTTTAATGCAGTATAGACAATGTTCAATACAGGCCCAAGAAGTTCATAAATTGAGGTCATTTTCTATAAACAGACAGAATAAGATACTCTCAAGCATGGTGGATATACTTCTTAGTACAGGTACATCTCTGTGTAGACTTGATGTTATTTAAACTTAAACTAAAATTGAGTGATAGACCACAGACAAATTCTGATTATATTTGATATTTATGTTTTAAGCTTGGAAACTAATGGCCGTCTCATGGAATTGAACCACAACACTGGTAAACTGAGAGTAAACTATGGCGACCGCCTGGTGACCTTGATGAGAGAGGTCAGACAACTTGGCTCCATGGGATTTGTTATTCCTGCCAAGATCATGCATGTATCGAACACGGCACAGAAGTTTTACAGGCATGGTGTTGTACTCAAACAGGTAAGATATAGAACGTGGAGCACAATTCTTTAACACTTATAAAGAAATAAGATTTACCCCAGCAAGTTAATATTAATGCCTGCTTGTCATGATTATAATACAATCATTATTTTATAAACCAGATATGAAATATCAATTTTTGTTCCAGTTCAATGCGAATGTATTTTATGCTTGAATTTTTTTCTCCGTTATTTTCTACATGTGTTTTTTTAAAATAAAGTAGAACATTTCTTCCTTTGAATGTGAAGAGATTCTTGCAGGGCTAAGATAAAAAAAGTTCTCCGATTGCTAGATGATTATTGATGTTATTGCTTTGCATCCAAAATGTTAATCTTAATGATTATAACCTAATCAACAGGTGGCCCATTTCTACAATACCATCGACCAACAGATGATAACAAGCCAACAGGCTATGATGTTGAACTCTGCCCTCGCATTCGAGAAACTTGTCAAAAACCCAAAGTCTGGTAAGTTACAAGTTAGATGAAAGATCTTTTATAAGTATTTCATATTGAAGAAAGATGTACTGATAAATTCAATATGATTAAACTATCAAGATGGATTTGCATAAGTAAACAAATTAAAGGGAGATAATTGTTAAAGTATCATGAATGTATTATAAATTGTGTATTAACTTTTATCAAGGAGATGGAAAAAGATAAAATATGAGAGTGATGGAGATCACAGATAGGTGCTACCTTTTTCCTTTATTCTGTATGTTTTTTGATGGGGAGGAAAGGTAGATGGGAAAACACTGATTTAGATATTGAAAGAAGTGAGACTTGAATTAACAATAGTATTATTTTTATCTAGGGAGTAAATCTAAGGGAGAGAATGTGGAGATCACCTGGGACAATCCAGATGAGCTTGACCATTACATCAAGAAGCTGCAAAAGGCAGCTGAGAGGCTGACCACTGAGAATCGTCGACTGAGGAAATCTCACAACACTGTCTGTGATAAGGTAGAGATGTGTATTTGTAGAATTATTATTACAGAAGACTAAAACTGTACACTGCTGGGAGTATTGTTATAACTACAGATATAGATCTGAACAGAAGATCTGATATGAGTGTCGACTTACATTTATGAGTTAAATATTTTGACATGTTTGTAAGATTCCATGTAATATAGACAGGTTTCAATTTAACATTATACTTTTCAGTCTGTAGACAAGTATTTAATATCATTTTATAATGATTTCACAAGGAGTTTGTTTGATTATATCATACAGTTACCTGGTATTGGGTTTTAGTAATTATAAGTATGATATATCAGAACTCAATAAATTTGATAGCTAAGTGTTTCTTACATCATCTCTCATCATACAATGTTAATTTACTTGTTTTGCGAACAGTTCTGAGCCTGTTGGCTATGTTCAGTCAATTAGTCTATTACTGCCTTACCTACCACATACAAAATAATATTACAATTTATTTTGTCTGGGGAGATAATAATATTTAAAGTGTAACGCCACCAATTAACTGAAAAGTTTTACCAAACATATCCTGCATGCATATTCTCTTCACGTTGCTTGAATCTGATATCTGATACATACAAAATAATCCTTTGCTACAACATTCAAAACTGAGAGGAATCTTTTGTGTTTTCTGTGTTTGTATTTATTGCCTGTATAAAATTCTTTCCAGTAGTGCATTATATGTTTGTCCTTTATTATAATAATGCTTGCACCTAATTGCTGTGAACTTTACATAGGACAAACAGGAAGTGAACTTTTAGAAACAATTTTAGTCTACATATGCTTACATATTTGGATGATACACAATGTCTTTTAGAGACTAAATTATTTGATAACATCTACATGTATATCAATTTAAAACTGAACTTTTTGCGACACAGACCCAACAGCTGATGGGCATTGACTTGCTGAGACAACAACAGAAATGGAAAGATGGACTGATGGACATTCGCCATCTCATGGCCAGTCTTGTCCAACAGGTAAGACAAAAAAACCAGGAGGAGTATAATCACACACCTCTTACTTATTGTCTTGATTGTACTAGAAACTACATCTCTTTAGTTAGAGGTCACTGATACTATATAATGTAAAAAAAAAAAATTGTGAATCTTCATTTAAGTGTTAAGATTTGTCTTGCCAGGTTATTTGGCTTTAATTTCTAGCCCTGTTTATTTGGTAATTAGCTCACCCACATCTTTTACAGGTCCACTAGAACTGCAACCAAAATGTAATTGTTATGTTATAAACCCATATCCTTAATATCAAAAATAGCCTAGTATGGCTCAGCTCCCTGGCTTAATGGAATTTAATTTTGTGTACAGGGCTTTTCTTCGGACAATATGAAGCCATGGAAGGCTCACTGGGACAGACAGCTGTACAAGGCACTGGAACACCAATACCAAATGGGACTTGAGGCCTTGAACGAAAACCTACCTGAGATCAAGGTTGAGCTGACTTTTAGACAACAGCAGCTGCAGTTCCGTCCGCCCTTTGAGGAGATCAAGGCCAAATATTTCCGTGAGATGAAGCGTTTCATCAGCATCCCTAACCACTTCAAGGGCGTAGGGGACGAGGCTACAAACCTCATATTCCCCGCGATCATCGATCGCAATGCTGAAGGCTTCATAACATGCTACAGGAAAGCAGACGTCTTGTTTAAACGTCTGTATGCTGCTCAGGAACAATTCAAGGTACTTACATGTACCCGGTAGTATTGATTTGATAGTAAATCACCTGTAGTAAACTACTAGATGGATGATTTGGTTTTGTAAATTAAGGTTACAATATTTTATCATGGATAAGAGTGCCATTCATTTAATGGCCCATAGGAGTCATGTGGGGATTCTTGATAAGGCTGGTGTTGGCCTGCTAGAGAATATTTTTGATAAACAGTTTTTGGTTTAAACAGTGTTGGTTTTAAACAGAGTGTACCATATATGTAACCATAGATCTTAAACATATAGAGATTTAAGTAAGTTTAATTATTTTCTCACTATCATAATCCTTGCTGTTTTTTTTTTCATTCTCCACTTGTTTGAACATATGTTGTGTTTTGTCTGTTATTGAATCTTTGTTAGTTTTCAACCTATTTCTGATCTTTTTGATAGCATGTTGTGTTTTTTTTCTAATAGGAATGGGTGGTCCTAGGGGCTATAGACCTTGATCAGTTTGTGGAGGATAATCTAAAGGAGCTTTCAGACTGGGAGAGAAACTTCAAGGGACTCAAGGCACGAGGCAGGGATGCAGAAAAACTGCCAAAGTAAGTAAACTTTCTGAAAGACAACAGAGTTGATGTGCTTCATTAGTAAAGTATATGATTGTATTTTCCCTGTCAACAAGATCAGATTCCAATTGTTTTTTGTGACACGGTTGAAATGGTCCAGGTGACATTGATTTATATATCCATTTGTATATGGAAGGATATATCGAGACTTCAAAGTGAAAAAATGTTTGTAATGAATAATCTTTATTGTATTGCTACAAATATGGGTGTACAACACTTTTTTCATACAGAAATTCTGAAAACAAATGATATACATCTGTTAGTTTCAAACAGACTTAGCAAACCCCTCAACCACAAGTACTGAGTATTCCACTAGTCTATTTCAGTCCTAATCTGTACAGTCATTTTGCCTTCAAATGCAGGCGATTTCAGAGTGGGAATTAATTTCAAATATTATTTTACTCTTTCACTGTTGGGGAACAATTAGATTCAAGTCATGTTGTTTAACCTTCTGTTGTTTAGGAATGAAAATTTGAATCAATATTAATTCAACATTTGCACATGTTTACAGTCAGTTGAAGATTGACTGTCTGACCGTCAACACAACTCCAGTGAAAGCAGTCATTGATGACCACATACAGCGACTGTTCGATGCCCTCGTCAACTCCCTACGAAAAGCTATTAACAGTGACGTGACCACCATCGACACCTTCCTCAAAGGTGCCATGGAAACGCTGTCCAACAGACCACAGACAGTGGAGGAGATAGGTGTCGCTAATGCAAAGCACGCTGAATTCGCCAAAGAGCGAAAAGAGGTATGGTCAATATTTGCTTACATAATTGTTTCTGAAGTTGTTATTGGTTACAGTAAAGACTGTTGTTTTTAAACAGTTCTATTTTTTGTTTAAACTGTAAAATAGATAACTGGAAAACAAAATTAGAAAAGAAAACAATAATTATTACAATAGTCTCTTGTAAAAAAAATACATTCCTTTCATATCAAGGTTTTGGTAAAATCACAAAAGTTTTCCCCCTTTCCCTCCTAAAATATCACATTTACAATAATTTCATGACCTGTTGAATATTGTGTATTGAAATTACAAATGTAATTTTCAATAACAAAATTAATCAAAATTGCAATAAATATTTTCAATTAGGTTCAGCCACTGTTTGAGCGTGCAGACTTGAAGAACAAACTGCTGCGGTCAGTGGCAGGAGGTGGTGTAGACTCCTTAAACCAGCTACAGGGATTCTGGGATAAGTTTGAACTTATGATGGAGAGTCACCAGCTGATGGTCAAGGAGCAGGTCAGTGGTTATTGATCAGATTCTTATACTGTATTTAGCCTGCAATAAGCCTAGGGGACTGAAACACTTCTTGGTAATTTTACTCAACAGAAGTATATATAAGTGACCTTATTACAAGACATAGGCTTATTGTCCAAGAGATACAGTAATAAAAATGGATGATGTTTTTGGTAACTGGATAATTATACTGACATAATGATTGTTTAGCTGTTCACATAACTTACACGGCTAAGCGTCCAGTTAGACATATTCTTAGACTAATGGGTAAACAAATGGTTGGGTTTTTTTCAGTTGATTAAAACAAAAAAGAAAAAAATGTTTTGCACTCCAAAATTATTATTTTCAATTCATTATTTTTTTTACTTACCTGGTAAATCTGTTTTATACCTGTGTTGATGAAAATGATACCCTTTTGTTAAAATTTTGTCAAAATTTTCAAGGTGGATGTGATGAAGAGCAATGTAGACTCGCGTGTAAAGGCCTTCACACAGGAGGTGGAGAAGTTTGCTGCCAGATGGCACCAGCTGAAACCAGGAGATGATGCTCTAGATGGGAACCAGAAGAAATGTGAAGCTGCTATGCAGATCATCAAAGACAAGCGAGAAGAGTTTGCTGAACTGGAGAAAAATAGGCAGTCTCTAGTGTAAATACTTTTTTTTGTTATCTGCTAATTAGTCTACAGTTGAACTTGCTGGAAAGTTTTTAGAGAGAGTTCCTTTTTTAAACACATTTTTCTGGACAGCTGAGCTGGATAATTCTGAACATTTTCTTCAGGTTGATATTAGCTGTAGAATAAAAGTGGTTGTGGTATAAGCAGTTTTATTCTAGCTGAAATAGATGGTAGACATTTTGGTTAGATTTAGTGTTTGTCTACATTTTTGTCAAGGCAAACAATATCAAAGTCAAGGTTGGGCAGTCATTTGCAGTGTTTTCTTTAATTTTGCTTGTTTATAATGTATGTGTGTAGCAATTTGTAGACGACAGAAACTCTTGTACTTTTACTGGAAACTTTCTTATCTACCAAATAAAGTTTTAAAAGGCTTGTAAACTTTTTGCTTCAGTAATGACTGCGAACATTTTGGGATGGATCTGCCTGAGATGGAACTTGCAGATGAGCTCCGAGCTGACATGGCTCAATACGAGAGCATGTGGGGCTTGTATGAAGAGTTCAACAAGGGCTTACAAGAGCTTGCAAAGGAGGATTGGATCTCCTTCAGGTAAGCCTTTCTCATAGCTAAATATGTTGAACTTTTTAGATGTTATATTTTGCCTTCATGGATAAAATTTTCAGGTTTTTGTTGTATGTATTGAAATCTGTAATTAAATGTATTTATTGAAAAATTTTGTTGCTATGCCAACAGGAGTAGGACATACATGTTTGAAGAATTCCTCAGCAACTGGTATGAGAAGCTCAAATCTGATGAAGCAACAACGATGACTGTCAAGCTTCAGAAAGACATAGAAAAATACAAGGTATACTGTAATCTAGGTTATTCAGATGCTTTTCTCCTGATTTAAATTATTGTCATAAAATGACACAGGATTTTAAAATCTTTCCATTTTTGTTGAAAGCAATCTTAATATTTTCTGCATGCATAATGTTTTAAGCATTGATTGATATAAAGTTAGTGTAATAACACAGAAAGAAAGAAGTCACATTATTTCCCCAAAGTGAATACTTAAAAAGTGTCGGTGTTGTAATTTATACATATTTAAGTTATTATAACATTTGTTCTATTGTGTCATGAAATTGAGTTATGTGATAAATAGAATCTTACACTGTGAAATGCATGAAATAATCCTTAATGTCACTCATTGGAAGGCCTTTAACATATTAGGCTGTGAAGCTCATTAACAAATCTCTTATCATACTGCCACTCGTAAAAGATATGTATATTCACATATGAACACCGAGAAAGATCAATGATAGACAAGCAGATATTCAATAGACCTTTGCATTGTATACAGTAAAAGAGAAAGAATTTTGCTTGTTATCTCTGGTATCTTTACAGAATGTGTTGCCAGTTCTGAAGTGGGTCCGTGGTGAGCCTCTCTCCCAGGATCACTGGATGGAGCTTTTCCAGATGCTTGGAATGCCCCGTGGTACAACGCTGGAAAAACTGAACTTTGGAACTGTCCTCGGGGCTAGTGATGCTATCATTGCAAATGCAGATGCTGTGAAGGTAGACAATGTTGTTGTATTTTTTAAAGATGATTTTTATTTTTTTCCGTAATATAACCTTTTTTTCATGTCTTGTTTTGATAATGGGCATATGGTGTTATCCAATTAGCAATCAATTGATCGCATCCCTCCTGTCTTTATAAATGTTGTCTTAGTGTCTCAGTATACTAAAACATCTTAATATTATGTGGATTAAAAAAATCATCCCAATATCCAATAGGAAAATACTTTGGGTGCATCCATCTTTGTAGTTTCAAGGTCAATACTTAGCATATAATTTTGAATGAAGGATATCACTTGCTACAGATATTTATAGATTTTTATATCAACAGAGACAGTTAGTCACAGAAACAAGCATATTAAACACAATTGACATGTAACATTCATAATGAAATTATTTGATGTTTTTAGGAACTGAACCAGAGAGCCCAAGGGGAGGTAACTATAAGAGAGGCCATCCGTGAGCTTGACTTGTGGGGTGCTGGGGCTGTCTTCACCCTCACAGAGTATGAGGACAGCAATAAAAACAGCATGATGCTCATCAAAGACTGGAAGGATCTTGTGAACCAGGTAAATTATGATGTCAAGTGGTAAATAACTGAAGATTTATAGATAAGATTAGTGTATGAAATAACATATTAGGCCTACCCTAAGTTCAGGGGCTAATATTTGGAACTAAAATTTTTGTCTTTGCAAATGTTGATTATTTTTATCTATACAAATTGTTTCCTTGTGTCAACAGGTAGGAGACAACCAGGCCCTGCTCCAGTCCCTGAAAGACTCCCCCTATTACAAGAGTTTTGAGGACAAAGCATCAGTATGGGAACAGCGTTTGGCTGACCTGGATGAATACCTACACAATCTTAACCAGATCCAGAGAAAGTGGGTCTACCTTGAGCCCATATTTGGGCGTGGAGCTCTCCCGAAGGAACAGGGACGCTTTAAGAGAGTGGATGATGACTTCAGGTGAGTGCTAATACAATAAGAACATCATTATGTATATTATTATCATGTCAATGCATCAATTTTTTGTTTATTTGTCTTAGAGAATGAACTACCCTATTTGATATGTCATTATATCCATGGTTAACCCATGACAATTTGACCTGTCTAGAAAAGCAACATTGACAATGAGACATTTATATGATCTGCTTAATCATGATTAATGAAATCTAAAAAATATTTTCACATTTTCTTCTGATCGATTTTTTGTAACAGAAACATCATGATGGATGTAAGAAGAGATAATCGGGTTGTTTCAATGACCCAGAAAGCTGGTCTGCGCAATCTCCTTACCACTATGCTTGACCAGCTACAGAGATGCCAGAAGTCCCTCAACGAGTTCCTTGAGGTTCGTGACACTGCTATTAAATTTGTTTTTGTTTTTCAACAGAGATGACAAAACATGCAATGATTTATACAAAGAAATTGGAGAAAATTTTTGCAAGAAGAAAACTTTCCTTGGGTCAGGTTAACAAGTTATTAACCATGTTATGGAAGCTAACTTAAAAAGAAGAAAATTACAGCTTATGATCGTTAGAGGAAAATTTTGACTCTTATCAAAAAGAGGAAAAATATGCAGTATTCATGTTTTTTTTAAGCAGTACTTGAGTGAAAAAAGTAAAAATGGATATTATGGCATTTCATATTTGTAATGTAATATTCAGAATTTTGTTAGTTTAAATTCAAGTTAGGCTATATTCTTAGTGAAGATATATGAATGGAACCTACAACCTGGACTCAGACTCTTTTCCATTATCAAAACTGTTATTCAGGTATGTTTGGAAATAAACTTGTAAACTTTTCTAGGCTCCTGAAAACAATAAAAACATCAAAAAAAAAAAAAAAAACCAAATGAACAAAAGAAAATGCTAATACAAAACAAACAAAAAAAGCTATTAGAAAAAAGTTATTGAAGATTGATATAGGTTGACACTTATCATGTAAACTTGTATGATGTGGACATAAATGACTTTTTTTTTAGTTCCTGAAGTTCCTTCCTAATATTATAAATATGTATTTATTACTGGTGTTGATGGTTCAACTTTAATGTTTTAGACTTCAGTAAATTTACCTTTCACAATGTATTGTTTCAGGAAAAAAGATCCCTGTTTCCACGATTCTACTTCATTGGAGACGACGATCTTCTGGAAATCCTCGGCCAGTCAACAAATCCCAGTGTAATTCAGACACACTTGAAGAAGCTGTTTGCGGGGATCCACTCTGTGGATTTTGATGAAAACAGCCAACATATTCTGGCCATGAAGTCACTGGAGGGTGAAGTTGTGCCGTTGAAGAAGAAAGTCAAGATAATGCCGGAAGTGGAAGTGAGGATCTAGTTTTAAGCTGTTTGTAGTGTTTGTCTTGATTCCGCAGTTATTTGTAGCGACCGTAAAGTCATATTATTTCCTGTTTGGAGAACAGAGACTTTTATCATACCCTTGGCAGTGGTTTGGGGTTTGATTCCTACTATGAGTGGTTTGTATTTCTCTGAAAGCTGACTTGAATGTGTCCTTAGGCATGACACTGTATCCTAGTTGCATGGGATAGCTCATAATGTGCCTCTCATATGATGTTCATTGAGAAAACCACCAGCAACTGCAAGGAGAAGGCCACCTGAAATTGAACCCAACTGTTGACAGAGCATTTGATTTTCAGTAAAGTTCGAACAGAACAAAAAAACCTGATCATTTCCGTGCTTAGGGAAGTTTTAAGTGACTATGACACTGAAGCTTTGCTCATGTGTAAAATGATTAGTTAATCTGTATTGAATCAATTGAATGTTAATCTTTTTTTGTTATTTACCTACAGACTTAAGTGACTAGTGATGATATTTTGTTGTGTAGGTATGGCTGAGCAAACTTGCTGAGGAGATGAAAGCAACATTACAAGAGCTTCTCCGTGAGTGTCTACAGGACTCAAAAAAGAGCCAAGGAGGGCTTGATCCAAGCAAATACCCTTCACAGGTAAGTTTATAAACTTGTCAAATATGTGTCTTAAAGCTATAGTCTCAAGTTTTTTTTTAACAATTTGTAACTATACCCAAACCAGGTTAAGATTTTGTACATGTGCTTGGTTCACACCACGGCTGATATATTAGATGCCCAACCTCACCTCGTGATTTGCTACTTAAAAACTTCCCTTATTCCCCCTTCAGAGTAAAACCTCACTGTTTAACACCCAACAAAGGCTATACAAATTTCTATTTTTGAGGATGAATGAATAAATTTTGATGTTCTCATCATAGGTGCTGTGTCTGGCTGAACAAATCCGATTCACCGAGTCGTGCGAGAATGCAATTAGCAAGGGCAACCTACCTGGTTACCAGCGGGAGCTGGAGGCACAACTTGAGTCATACACCAGTGTGGACTTGAGTGAGGAAAGTGGGGTCGAAGGTCATGTCCTTGACCTTAAACTCAAAGCCCTGATTCTGGACACGATTCATGCCATAGATGTGGTACAACAGCTGACCAAGCAGGGCTGTCGCAATATCCAGGATTGGATGTGGAACAAACAGCTCAGGTATAGATCTCCTGGACCTGTTATATTGTATTGTTTGTTTTTGGTTGGACAAGGGTGTTTTCTTATTTGTAAGTCTAGCAGAATTTGCCCCAAAAGTGTTTAGTCATTCTATATAAAGGGATATGTCTGTGTAGTGGCTATAAGAGGTGAAATTATTAATTTTCATAGTAGTTTTATTGTCATTTATTTCATGGTTACTATTAACTTATGAGTTTTTATGTCTACAAACTGTTAAAAGTAGTGTCAGCAAATTTATTTTTATCAACAAAATCTTCAATCTTTTAAATCTTGAAAATTGAGCCTATGAAAATATCTGATTTCACAGTAGTTAAAGGTAAGGTAAGAGAAGAGAAGTACAAGGCATGTTGGCAAGATGATAGTTTACAGCAATGAGGAATTCTGTTTTATTGGCTCAACAACTGTTTATTTTCTGGATTTACATACATTTGGTTGAAGTTTTAGGTCAAGTGTTGCTCTTAAAGGTATTTTCACAAAAAATAAAATTAAATGACAAGATATTTAGAATTATAGATCACCGATCTAATTATACTTTGGAGTAATGGAATCCTGATTGCAAAGAAATAAGGAATTGAAACTAAATGAAAAAATAAAAAAAATAAAAAAAAACTTAAAAAGTACATTTTTTAGATGGTATAAGAAACTGAAAACATCTTGTTTCATTTGATCTTTATACCCTGTAGGTTTTACCTGAAGCGGGATGGTACGTGTGGCATCAGAATGGTGGACGCAGAGTTTGACTATACGTATGAGTACCAGGGCAACGCCCAGAAGCTGGTACACACCCCTCTTACTGACAAATGCTACCTTACTCTAACACAGGGTAGGTACTGTACAGGGAATACTTACTATATTTACTATTCAATAAACTCAGGCTCATAAATAAGCTCATCCATATATATTGCTGCTTGGTAGGATTGCAAAATAAGTTAGGTCATTGTACATTAATAAGCCCACTTATTTACCTAGAGTTTGATAGGATGTTTTGGTCCACCTTGCTGGTTAAGTTCTGTATGAACTATTGGATAGTTGGAAATATTCAAATGTGATTTGATTTCACTAAGTTCAGGGTCATAGAAGAGAGCATGAAATAAGATACCTGACAAATGATTTTACACTCAATATAGATCTCTGAATATGTATGTAATATGCCCAGGTACATAGGTATCACATTTCACAAAATTTACTTTGAATAACTTGCCCCAACCAGGACAAATGTGTAACTGCCAAATTGAAGTAACTAGAGAGTCTTATATTGAAATTTGAAATGTGACATATTTTTAGGTATGCATATGGGGTTGGGAGGAAACCCCTATGGTCCTGCTGGTACAGGTAAAACAGAATCAGTGAAGGCCATTGGAGGACTGTTTGGACGACAAGTGCTTGTATTTAACTGTGATGAGGTACGTCATTCTAAAGTTTTACTGAAATTGAAAATGGAGGGTGGAGGTCAAATGAATGTTTGAGAATTGGGAAACTGGCTAATTTTTTCTTTTGATACACCAGTTTAGATTAAGAATCATTAATAAACACCGAAAAAAAAAATATTTCTAAGCAATTAAGGTTCTATCTTTTCTGAAATTCTGAAAAAGTTCTGTAAATGTACATTTTATATGGCTTATACATTTTTTAAATGCTTTTATGCTTAGAATTACATTACATTAAATAAAAAAGAAAAAAGGGGAAAAAAAATGAAAAAAAAAAAAAATGAAAAATAATTGCTGAAAATGTCCAAAAGTTAGCACATTTGCCTTTCAACAAAGCAAATGAGATTTGTTTCCTCCTTCAGGCAATTGTAAAGATATGACTTGACCTGCAAGACTACCTGGCTTTTTCTTTGATTAATCCCATATTCAGAACTCCTGCAAATATTCAACAAGTAACTGATCATGAAGTTGTGGACTGGTTTGAAAAATTTATATTTGAAAGATGAATATATTTTGATAAGACATTTGACCTAACAGAATTGTAAATATTTTTTTAATCTTTTGCTAGGGTATCGATGTAAAATCGATGGGCCGTATCTTTATTGGTCTGGTGAAGTGTGGTGCGTGGGGATGTTTTGACGAGTTTAATCGTCTAGAGGAAGCTGTGTTGTCTGCGGTATCCATGCAGATCCAGATAATCCAGGACAGTATCAAAAACAGGGTACCCTTCGCAGAGCTTCTCGGCAGAAATGTAAGTCTTCATTCACAAAATTATGGGAAGAAATCTTCGGACAATATATTGTCATTTTATTCTTGCTTTTTTAAAAGTTGTCAGTAATGTTTGTAGGATCTTTTCAAGCACTGGATATGTCAACTTGGAACTTGATTAAAATCTAAATCTCTGTTTTTCACTCCACAATTATAACAGGGAGATAAATTAGTTTTGAAAATTTGCAAATGACATCCAGTTTCCAAGAAAGGAAAAGAAATTTATCTTTACATGTATCTATCATATCTATCCTGAAATAAGACTAGGGGGAACACTTAACGTTTGTTTCAAGGTCAGGGGGTGGGCTTATTACAGGACATTTGTTTGTAATTCTATTGATGATAATATATATAGATTAAAAAATATACTACTATGTGACATGGCATAGCATTAGATATATATATCACATGTTATACATTACATTCTCTGATCAAAGGTTGACATCGACCACAACTCCGGCATCTTCATCACCATGAACCCAGCAGGAAAGGGATACGGAGGTAGACAGAAACTCCCCGACAATCTCAAACAGCTGTTCCGTCCTGTAGCCATGTCTAGGCCAGACAATGAACAGATTGCTGAGGTCATTCTTTTCTCAGAAGGGTTCAAACAGGGCAAAGAACTTGGACGTAAACTCGTGGCCATTTTCAACCTTTCAAAGTGAGTGTGATAGTGGGTTTCGAGTGGCTTGCTGTTTGAATTCTTTCTGAGTAAAACTTAATCACTCATTAAAGCTTTGTGGACTACAAAATCTGAGATTTCCTATAATATACAAACATATTTGGGATCTCATGTAGAGATTGTTAATTCCTGTAGGTTATCATTGATGATTTTACTAGAAATGAAATCCTAAGTCAAAAGTAAGATATAAAAAACCACTGGATTTGAAAGAAAACCTGTTAAAAACAAACACATTCGCGACCATCAGTTTCCTTAGACATACTGTGTAGGTAATAGTTTTTTGGAAATGTAAATTTGTTGGATGATGCAGAGGACTTGTTGTGGGTTTTTTTGTGTATGTGTCTCTTTGTCTTATGATACAAATGTTAAACATTTAGGTCCATTGATTTGTTACTTGTATTGTATAACTGAATGTACAAAATTCACAAAACTTTATGATATTATTGAATTAGAGGTCTATGTTACCTATATTATTACAATGTAGGTCATCAGGACCTATTTTCTACCTCACTGTTTTCAATTAGACTTTTAATTTAGGTCTGTTGCAATCCAAGCATATTCAGCAAAAATGTTGTAGACATACTTGACCTTGTTAACCTTATTGACCTGTTAGCCTTCAATCTTATTGACCTATTAACCTTCACCCATATTGACCTATTAACCTTGCCACTTATTGAATGAATGTTGATTGTGTTAGGGAGCTGTTGACACCCCAGCAACACTATGACTGGGGACTGCGTGCCCTGAAAACTGTCCTTAGAGGGTGTGGTAACCTTCTACAAATGCAAAAGAGGAAAGGAAGTGAGTACTTTCTGAAACAGATTTAATCTATAATTGTTTTCATGGTAAAGTTGTTGAATTTTAAATTTAAGAAGTTATTTATCTTTAATACACTTCATCTCTCTTGGATCTGTTTCATTTATGTCTATATTATGTTTGCATTGAGAATTGGTTTCTTTCAAATTTTATATTTAAGAATCATTAAACACCTAATATAACTGTAAAAAAAACTTGAGAGTAAGGCATGCTTAGAAGTTCAAATTAAAAAAAATCTGGTATGTTGTTATAGGTAAAATTGATCCAAAGCTAGAAGCCAAACTTGTAGTACAAGCTCTCCGCATCAACACTATTTCCAAACTCACATTCTCGGACTGTTCACGCTTCAATGCCCTGGTGAGTGATGTGTTCCCAGGGATTGAGTTTAAGGACATTGAGTATGAGGAGCTCGCCCAGGCTATCCGATCAGTCTGTGAGGAGAAAAACCTTCGAGTCAATGAACTGCAGGTAAGGTTGTTGACAAGTGGGATGTTTTTTGCTTATTTTTTGTCTCTAAAATGAAACTTTCAGCTTTACATGTTTCTGAAATAACATTCTGTTAATAATGAGGGGAAACTCGGTTGCCATAGTATGTGCTTAATTTCAAGAATGTTCACTTTTGTAAGTTTTTTTTGTGAAGACTGTACTCAATTTGATCTTGGCTTTGATACAATGTTCAGTGTGACCTTGACCTTTCAATGCTTAGAAATACCTTAACCTTTTACAATAATCTTGAACTTGGAACTAATTGTTTGACTGAGGAAAAATATTAAATATAACATATATTCTATTTTTAAAATGACTTTGACTTAGATGAAATATTGAATATGACCTTGACCTTGAAAAGATGGAAATTTATTGTTTGCAATGATAACATTTCAGCATACTTTTGCTTGGCCTATATTCTCAATGTGACCTTAACCTCTTACTGTATAAATTTGACCTTTGATCCTGGTGAATTTTTAATTTATGCATACATGCAGCATGCATGACATAATTAAAATGAGCGTAATCTCTTACTTAATGTGACCTTGACCTTTACAGATTAAGAAGTCTCTAGAGTTGTATGAGCAGCTTAGACAGAGAACAGGGGTGGTGGTTGTTGGACCCAGTGGCTCTGGAAAATCCACTCTGTGGAGGATATTGAGACAGGGCATGAAGAAGATTGGTAAAAAGGTGAACAAATACACCATGAATCCTAAGGCCATGCATCGGACACAGGTCAGTTTACCAGATATTTTTTACCCAAACAATGAATTTTCCCAAATATGAGATTAACAAGATTTCAAAATAAAAGTTTTAATTTAACATTTTTAATTAATTCATAAAAGAATTTTAAAACAACTGAAATTGATCTTTTCTTTATTGTTTGTAAACAATTTTTCTTGAAATGTAATTTTTCTGTTTAAATTCAACTATTCTGAAAATTTTTGAATCATTTGATAAGTTTTACATACAAAATAACATAAAATCATCAATTTTTAAAAAATATAACCTGACACATACATCTTATATTGTAAGATTTTTTTATGTCAGTCAATAAATAAATATTTTGCTAAATATTCACAGCTGCTTGGACATATTGACATGGACACAAGAGAGTGGACAGATGGAGTCTTAACCAACAGTGCCAGACAGGTAGTCAAGGAACCCAAAGGTACAACGTCTTTACAGATATCCTGCTACTTCAAATTTTGTAACAGATATTGAGTGTATAGTATATTATTGACCAGTGGTCAGTGGTCATTTGGTAAATTGACAGTACCTGAGTATGCTTAGTTTCCTATCTTAGGTACTGTAAATAAATTCTCTATCATGTGACTTAATTTCTTGATCAAAATCAATTAATTAGAGTTAATTATTTGGAATTAAAAACAGGGTGATAGAAATCAATTAGGTTATAACAAACTGCAGTCAGTTCCAATAAAGTAAATTGACACAAACTTTTTGTGATGGGAGAATTGAGAAATTTAGAAGCAGCAAAAAAGTAAATCATCAGAGACTTTGTTGTGATGCAAAAATCAGGAAATGTTTAAGTGAAAAATGGTAAGAAATGATTTTCACTACAAACCAGATCATCTCTTTGAAAAAATAGATACGTTCTTGTAAAAATACTTTGTTAACTATACAGACTTTACATTAAAACTCAGAATCTATTCCTGTTTCCTTTTCATTGGGGTTTCTTTAAAACTGTCTAGAATAGTTAATAGATAAGGCAATATATATATATGTATACATTGACAGAGGTCCAGTCCTGGATTATCTGTGACGGCGACATTGATCCTGAGTGGATTGAGTCCTTGAATTCTGTCCTGGACGACAACAGACTCCTCACAATGCCCTCTGGTGAAAGAATTCAGTTCGGTCCAAATGTTAACTTCCTGTTTGAGACACATGACTTGAGCTGTGCTTCCCCGGCTACGATCTCCAGAATGGGCATGATTTTCCTCAGGTACACCAAGGTTCCAGCAGTAGAGATAGAATTAAATCTTTGTTTTATGGTATCTTCTCTCAAGGCTTTTTACATCCTCAAACTTTTTGCCTGAGTTTGTGCAAATCTACTAGACTATTTCCTGATAGTGAGAAAGGACTTAAAAATTGAAATAATTTTATGCAAATCACGAAAATTCAACTAAAACCTTCACCTTTATCAATGGCTGCAGTAACTTGCCTTTGGAATGAAAATGTTGACCCAGTATTAATTGATATATCTCGAAATTGTCATATAACTAGGAACAATATTTAACGACACAGAAATCTTGTATCATTTTCAGGAATCTTGATTTTTATTTATGATATAGAATCTGTTTGTTTACTTAAGTGTGTTTAGTAACAGATATTAATTGTTTTTGATGGTCAGTGATGAAGACACCGATGTGAAGGCACTGGTCAGTTCGTGGCTGTCCTCACAACCTGAACATGAACAGCACATTCTGTCTGGCTGGATAGAGGACCATTTCTATAAGGCTGTGGAATGGGTTCTTCGTGTTGTATGTAAAACTTACCTTGTCTGTCTTCATGGTTATTATACTCTACAAAAAATTGTTCTCTTACAGACAGAATCTTTTACAAAAGAAATTTAGACAAATACACATATCTCGGATATCCCTAACTAAGTTAATTTTTCTTGTTTTTGAAATATTTTTGAAAATGTGTTAGCTTTTTAACTGAAAATAGATTTTTACAAATAAGCTTCAATATTCAAATAATCATTTTTGTAGGTCTGATTTTTGAAAATGAGAGTTTTAATTTTTATATTTGCAGAATGATTCTGTGGTAGAGACCAGTAGGATTGGTGTAGTCCTGAACGGTCTGTCACATCTCCACAATGTCAGGAACAAGGCACACTTCGCTGTCTGTCTCATCCACGGACTTGGTGGAAATCTCAACGAGGGTAGCAGAGAGACATTTGCCAAGGAGGTAAGTACTGACCCATTTCTGTATTTCCCTTTCTAGTGGGCTCTGTATACAGAACGTTTAGCCAAGAAGATTTGGAGTTCTACTAAATATGATGGAAGTTTCATATATTCTGCTGCAATTTTTCTTCAGTCATTAAAATTGCAATGAAATAATCTTTGGTTCCTTAAAATTTGCCTCTTTGAAGATTTAAGATCACCAATTAAAACAAAAATTAGAATCAATGTCTGCTCATTTTCAAGACCTGGGCAGGGAACATTTACAAAAATTCTATACCGTATTTGTGTAGGAAAATTACCTTCTCATCCAGGTATTTTTGAAGGAATCTTCCTATTTTTATCGAATTAGCAGAATGCTCATGAGGATTAATGGATTTATTTATGTACAGAATACACGTTAAAATCAATTTCTACAGAGATACCTACATCACCAACCAATTATTTCTAACAACTTGTTACAGAAACAAAAAATTGAGAATCATCTCAATATTTTCCCAAGTTTAGACTATCTATCGATATAAATGGCTTTTTCTTGATAACAGGTATTTTCCTGGACACAAGAGTCTCCACCTGACTCACGGCGTCCCCTGGATACTTACTATGATGAGAATATGGGTCGCCTGATGACCTACAGTATGGAGGTAAGAATCAGACCAGAATGAGGCTGTTGTGCTTCTGGTGTTTAAGGATTGTAGAACATGTTGTAAATCTACACATGGCGATTGGATTACCTCCCCTTACTAAAATCATCTGTTTCAGCCTGAAACTTGCCAGCATGTCTATCTAATCTCTTATTATGACAACAATTCATCATTATCAAATATCTTGAAATTTGAAAAATATAAAAATACACTGTTTGTAACATTTCAGAGGGGTAAGGTTTGTCAAATTTGGAAATTACTACGGCAGGTCTCATTATTTTCTTTGAAAACTTCCCTTAGATCAATATTATGACTCTAACATCCATTTCCATTTTGTAAGTTAATAGTGCTTAAGCTTGTCAGATGAGTTACATTTTTGGACTTGTGAAATGAAATTATAAAAGAAATTTATTCTGATACAGTGTAGCTGGTTATTTTCACAAGTCAAAATGTTCGCGATTCTCTTTTTAACTGATTGAATAGATTATCACAAATTAAGCATTCATCATCTGGATAGAAAAAGTCAGTTTCATGTACTGTGAAATAGCACAAATATCATCCCCGAAAACAATATATGGTAGCACTGTTTGTAACATTCTTACCTTGTTTCTTAGATGGTTCTGTATCAACATGATTCTACTATGATAGCTTGTTGTATAAACCTTTAAACTAAGTTACTGTAAACTCATCATTTTTTGTGAGATTTTATTTTCATCATTTTGTGGTTGCCTATTCACAAAGTCAGATGTCCATGAAATTATAAACAATTAAAAATTTACTCAAATTTTTAGTGCTGGTGGATTTTGTGAGTCAGATTTTGTCCACATATTAAGTCAGCTGTCCACGAAACTTTAATCAAAAGAGAAAGAAATCTGAGCCCTTCCTGAATATATGAGTTTACAGTAACCTATGGGAGTGGTTTGGTTATTTGTAACAATTTCTCTCGTCTTTAAAACTTGATGCTTTTTAATCTATCAGGTTTTATTTTGTACCATATTCATCCTATGATAGGCCCATGTCTTGAAAATAAGCACACCCCTCCCTTTAGGTGTTCAATAAAATTTACAAAAGATTTTTTCCATGTCCTGTCATACACTCACCCCTATCTACAGCTCTCAATAGGATTGACAAAAAGCCTTTATCATTGTCCTGCCATATGCCCACCCCTTGATTTGTAAATTTATTGACACCCTAGGCTTATTGAAGGATGAAGGCAGTGAAAACTATATTGTGATTAATTTTCTGTTTTATTTCTGACACCATATTTATTAACTTTCTCCACCACATTTTTGCATTAGTATTTGTTGTAAGAAAGTGAAATCTCACCTTTAATAGAAATTATTGGATGTTGATCATGTGACTTTCAACATATATCAATGGTGGTAGTGGTTTCTGTAGTGAATGTATATAGCTCTTGCTTGTTGAGTATTTGACTAATTTATCAACCTTCAGATTTTAGCGATTTGTTTGTTTTCCTCTCAGATTGACAGGTCTTATAAAATAGATTTACTACATAACCTTCCCTGATGTTGCCTTTAATATGTCCTATTCTTGGTAACCACTTTCAATGTCATTATTATTTTTTTGCAGTAACCTTTATGATGTTGTATGAACTTTATGATGTTGTACAATCATCCTGTGTATCTTGTATCATATTACAGATTACAGCTTATTATAACGGGGTATGACTCTGTCAGTTAGTTAGTTCCCAAGTTCCTAGTATTATGATTACTGGCTATTCCATGTGCTGGTCTCCACCAATATCTCCAAAAACCTTAACATATTCAACTGAAAGAATTTAACTGCAAATGGAACTTTTTTAGTTTCAGCAAGGAACATCACAAATTTTGAGAGAAAGAAAAAAAATAAGAAAATGACAAAAAAGTTTTTTTTAAAAAAAAATAAGGAACATTCAGTTCATCTTCTTTGAAAAAATTGTTCAATTTTTGTACAAAGTGAATTTGAAATGTGAAAAGCTAATTTTAGGCCATATCATCTTTTTTCAAGATACTTGCCTGCTTTTCAGTCAAGTGTATGATTAGAAACTTGAAACTTTAGTCCAAACAGTGATTTTGTTTGAAATAGAATTCACAATATTAGACCTGAATGTGGTTTGAGGGTGAGATATTGGTGAATTGGGTCAGTCTTGTATTAATTAGAATATTTGTTGGAAAAGTTTTAAATTTAGTGTTTTATAGTTTGTTGAAAGTTAAAGCTATACTTTTCAGGAATGGCTTCTTCACTGCCATGCTTTTTACTTACAGCCAGAAATGTATTGATTTAGAATTACTCCTTAGTTCTCTGACCATGTCTGTCACTAGCTGTAATAATATGGCTGAGATTTACAAAATATAGACATGGAATTTTAAAGATTGAAAACATTTCTAAGTAGTAAAGCATAAGTCATTCAGATCTTCAGAGACATATAGAAATATATATATATATATGTATATGAAGTTTTTTTCTTTTCAACCATTTTTTTGTTCATATAAATGTGTTGCAAAATTTCAAGAACTACTTATATTTTTAAAAAAAAAAATTTTTGATTGTTTCCATTTACCTCAATGAATGTCTGTAAAGTACCTCATTTTTTTAGAGAATGTAAAAATTATATGATATTTTTGCTACAGTTGAAAATGAAACCATTAACTGAGTTGGTTTGAAAGCATTGCTACACATTTATCTGTACAATTCTTCAGTTCTTCAGGATGTAGTTCACATCTGTAGCCAAATCTACCTAGTCTATAGGCAACTTCACAGTAAAACAAATTTATCATGAACTCAGTTTGTGAATTTCAAACAAGTTATGATTTTGATATTTTAGATCTTTAATGCCTATAGAAACAGGCATCATAGACCATATAAGAAATGTTATCTAGTGGAGTTTGACATTAATGTAAGGACACACAGAATCTATAAACACTGTCAGCTGGCCATGTAAGCTGCTCAGCTGTAACCTATTTGGCTCCAAACACATAGCTCTGACTAGTCCAATTACTTATATTGTTAAATCATTCATTTTCATGATTATCATAAATTACTTAGATTTTACAAATATTTCATTTTGCAAACTTCCTCTAAAGACATGTTCATATATACATGATATTGCAAACGTTGATCTAGAAATCACTTAAAATTCTCAAATAATGAGCTATTAGTGACCTGAACTTTGCAAGACTCGAATATTGGTAACAGAATCAACATGGATGCTATCCAGAGTCATAATTGTACAAATAGTTATGAGGGAGTAGGATTCGCAGTTGACTCTACTCACATATTAACACGAAAATAATTCCTATTCAAAATATACCATTGGTGAGTGATTTACAGTATAAATCATAAGATTGGTGTGAAACTCTGCTACAATAGAAACATTTATGGTTGTCTTGGGTTCATTATAACAGTGTTTTACTGTAAGTTATTAAGAAAGTATAATATTTTTAGCATGGCCTCTACATATATAATATAGATAACATTGGCTGACAACATTCATACTGCTTTTTATTATTGTAGAAATTGTAGATCATGTCATGCTTCACAAAATTATATTCAGAAAAGCAGTGGATATAGATATATGTTTTAGTTAGATTATGATGTGTTATCTCCAAAAAGTATAAAAGTCTTGAACAAGACTTTTTTATTGAAAATATCAAACACATAATGTACCTGTCTTCTCTAGCATTTCTTCATGATGTCTGTTACACAAATTTCTTTAGTTGCTGATGTGTGAATATAAATATTGATCATTGGTAGGCATGCATGCTATCAATATAAGACAGTTATTTGAAAAAGAATTTGTTTGAACATTTTATTGTATCAAAATTTACCTTTCATATAGGGATCTTCAAATTGAATCTTCAGCTTCATATGGCAATGACAGGACATAGTTTTTGTTTTCAATCATTATGTCTTTATATAAGTCTGATTTACTATAAATTTTGTATAAATTGGTAAAAAATAACTTTTATTTTTTTTTTTTTAAATCTGATTAATCCATTTGTTTTTGTCAGACTTCCGGCGATTTGTCTGCAGACAACTTTACTGTGAGTTCATCCTCCCTACCAGTGATACGAACTGGCGATGTTCAGAGAGGACTTGACTACTTTATGCCCTGGCTTCAACAGGACAACAAACATCCATTTATTCTGGTGGGACCGGAGGGCTGTGGTAAAGGGTAGGCGCTGTTTAGTGTATTTGCCTGGAAACAAGTCCAGGGGCCAATGTGACATGCTATTCAAAGCCAGGGGGCAGGCTAATCGCAGGAACATTTCCCCGAAATTCTATAACCAAGCATGGGCTTATTGGTGGATTATACAGTAATCAGATTGAAATGGAAATCTTTTAGTTTTCTCATTTCAGTTTATTTTTGAAAAAGAGAAAATACCTAGTGGTGGTAGGAAATGTATGTATTACCTATGGTGTCAAAATGGTTATACATCCATATTTTTTGCAATAGAATTTGAAATCATAAAATTATTCCATTTTCAGAGGATTTTCAGTAAGACATGTACTGAAGTCATATTGGACACAAAAATTCCTTTATAAAAAATCAGGATTAAAAATTTTGAATTCTGTTCTGTTATTTGTAGAATGTTGCTGCGATACTGCTTTGACCAGCTACGTTCAACACAAGTAGCCACTGTCCACTGCAGTGCTCAGACTAATCCAACCCATGTCCTACAGAAACTCAACCAATCTTGTATGGTTCTGAACACAAACACTGGTCGTGTGTACCGACCCAAGGATTGTGAACGTCTCATTCTCTACCTCAAGGATATCAATCTACCTAAACCGGACAAGTGGGGCACATGTCAACTCATTGCCTTTCTACAACAAGTAGTGACCTACAACGGATTCTATGATACTAACCAGGAGTGGGTCGGATTAGAAGGTGTTCAGATTGTTGCCAGTATGAACGCTGGAACTGGACTAGGAAGGCATCAACTGACCACAAGATTTACCTCTGTTGTTCGGATATCATGTATTGGGTAAGTTCTGGACACAAACTGCATGACCACAAAATTCAATTCAGTTGTTAGGATACAATGTAAAGGATAAGTTTTTCAATATCAGTTACTCATACTGACCACAAGATTCACTTAACTGTTAGGACATCCAGTGTAGAGTAAGGTCTAAACCACTTGTGACATAATTTTAATCTTAGATGTCAGGATGTCCATGGTTTGTACAGAGGATGAAAAGTGCTTGAATTTGCTCTCAAATCCACGAAAAAGCTGGAATTCATTCTTTCTTGCTGTAAACTTGCAGTTCCGTTTCAGTGAGAACACAATTGATAAGGAACATGTTTCCAAAATGGAACACTTAAAATACTGCGGAAGCTTTATTCTAGTATTAATTTATTATTTTGTAAAAGAAATAAAATGCACAATGGCATATTTGGCTGTGAAATAGAATGTTCTTTTGTTATTTTAATCATGGTAAAGTTCAAAAATAGATTACGTTTTTATTCTCTGCAAGTTTGGGCTAAAAATGCACTCGGAAAACCAAGTGAAAAGACTTGAATCTTTGTTTGAAAAATCTATGCAAAATATGATGTCATAAATGACTGCTGGTAGAGAAGAAAAAATTGTAGAGACCAAAACTTTATCAAAGTGGTTAGTTCGATAAAATCCTACAATAAAGTAGGGCAGCAGAAGGAGTGTAGAAGTCATACTGGATATCCTTCCATCCATTCATTTGTAACCAGTAAGCAGAATTATTGTAGAAAATGTTCTGATTATCTTGGACTGACTTTCCTGTAACTTGGTACCTATGATCAGATAATGAGATACATGTAGATTTACATTTGTTTTTTACTTTTTCGTTTCAATAATATTCCTAGGATTTCCGCCTCATCCGTGTATAAAATTCCATGTGTGATAAAGTGAATATTGTCTAGTCTTGGCTTACAATTCTAATTATGTGTTGTAGTTATCCCGATCGGGATCAGCTACAGACCATTTATTCGGCGTACCTGCAGCCAATCATTCACAGACAGTTGGTACGCCATCCGGTGTGGGGAAATTCTTCCAAGGTTCACGCCTTGGCCGGCTCCATGGTTCAGCTGTATGAACAGGTTTGTGTGCTAGTTCAGATTTTAAATGCACTTTTGTGGAGGTTTAATTGATTTTGTCATGGAAAAATGCGATTTTTCAATTAATGATGGGAATAGGGTCTGTTGTAATAACCAAATTTACACTTTACTCGGAAAATTGTATGTTGTCCTGACTAACAATTGATGTCAGTTTTTTGTCATTTGTAAAACCATTTTATGCATTATTTAAAAGAATTGAAGAATAACAGATTCTAGAAAAAAAAATGTGAAAAAATGAAGACATTTGATGCTACACATGTCCAAGATTTATCTGACAAGTGTGTTTATGTACCATCACAGTTACGAGCACGCTTTACCGTGGATGACTATAGTCACTACCTGTTTACCCCACGTGACCTGACAAAATGGTGTCTCAATTTCCTGCGCTATGACCTCACTGCTGGAGCGAAGGAAGGATCAAGTGACCATGTCCTCCATATATGGGCGTATGAAGCACGTAGATTGTTTCGTGACAGAATTGTTGGTACCGATGGACTGAACAAATTTGACAGTATTCTCATGTCCACTATTCGAGCAGACTGGTCTGCTAATATCTTTGAAGCATTGGAAGGTGAGATGTCATCCAGAATTCTTATCATTGTAAATTACCTGACTTTGCAAGAGAAATATAGTTTCTGCATACTACATCTATTCTACTAAACACCAATGGGGCAACTCATAATCTAAGGTTAAAAGTCAGGGAGTGGATTTATTACAGAACAATGAAATGACATCTACTGGCATTTCTGTGGAACTGAAACAAATATCAATTACAAGACATATAGATACTATTTTTAGACGGGTAATGTTCAGTTCAAATTTGAAGTCAACTATAATTTCAACTTAATTTGATAATGAATTATGACCGTGAGTTGTACACCAAACCACTAACAAAAATTGGTGGGATGGGTGATTTTTTTTACTACAAAATAAATTTAATATATTGACATACTTTTACCGTTATGACTGTGACAGATATACTTTTGAATTTCAGATGAATTTTTCGTGACATGGGGAGCGAGAACAGAAACTGGAGCTGCAGTTGTTGCTGCAGGAGCACCCCTCCCACCAAATGGCAAACCACTTGGGAAGTTAGGCATTGATGATCTCACAGCAGTCATAGAACGTGGTTTGAAACTGTATAGTGAGTATTGTCACATTACCTTTATTCCTGATGACCGCTGAATAGCAGCCCTAAACTGATAGTAAATAACAAAACCTGCCTGTAATGATTCTTTATGATATTTATTGTATTCATAGGAATATTTCATAAAGTTTTGAAATAGACATAATGATAACATTCAGATCTGATAGTGTCATGAAATAGGAAAATGTGGTTAGAAGATGTTTGCCTAATTAAAGCACAAAGAATTTGTAGATGCAAAATGATGAATTTAAAATTTGTTTTACTGCCACTGGAAAAAATTGGCTGTGTAAAGATGTTGACAATATGTTCAAGTAGTGTGTATGTGTTGAACATTTAAAGATAAATGAAAGATGTTTTTTCTGAATTTTAGTAAACAAGATATGTTTTAAAATTTGAGGTTAGACAGATAAATGAATCACATGGCCGTATAAAGAAGTTCAATTGATAATAACAGGAACAATATATTATGATCTGAAGTTTAATTATGCATCGTTTGAATGTTCCTCTAACTCTGGTTTGATGTTTTTACACAGGCAGAGAGAACAGAGATCTAGACATTTTAATTTTCAAAGAAGTGTTGGATCATATGGCACGAGTTGATCGTGTGCTGACTAGTCCAGGAGGGTCTCTACTCTTGGCTGGACGGAGTGGAGTCGGGCGACGGACAGCAGTCACACTGGTTGCACACATGCACCAAATGTCTCTATACTCACCAAAGGTGTCTCGTGGATATGCAATGAAGCATTTTAAGAATGACCTGAAAACAGTGAGTTGTCTAGTAATGACATTTATCGTCAAGATAAACCTTGATCTCATGGAAAATTAGAATACTGAGGATTGAAAAATCATAAAGTAGAATTCTTACTTGTCACAAAAAGAACTTTGCTATGCAAATTAATGTCACAAGGACTTTGCAATTTACTACATCCTTTAGTTTTTTATTGATGCATTAGGTAAATTATATGTATCACATATGGATTTTTTGTTAGATGCTTAAAAGCAATTATACCTTTGACAAGATTAAAACTCTCATTCTAATCTCCATTATTTGGACTTTATGACATGAAGTCTAGGACTCTTTGTGACTCGCTATGACCCTTGTGACCCTCTATGACCCTTGTGACCCTCTGTGACCTGTATGACCCTCTATGACCCTTGTGACCCTCTATGCCCCTTGTGACCCTCTATGCCCCTCTACAATGCTCTAGGACTCCTTCGGCCCTCTCTGATCAGTGTGAACCTCTATGACCCCTAACAACCCTCTATGACCCTTGTGGTCCTTTATGGCATCTTTAACCAACTCTCTGTGACCCTCTACAACCCTTTATATCCCCCACAACCCTTTATGAACCCTATTATATTTTATGACTCTCAATGACCCATGTGACAGTTTGTGACCCATGTGACCCTTCTGTGTGACCTGATGTAACCCTTTATGACCCCTTTGACCTTTGTGTTGCTAGGTGATGCAGCAGGCTGGTATGGAAGATGAACAAGTTGTACTGCTGTTAGAAGACCACCAGTTTATTGAGCCCCAGTTTCTTGAGATGATCAACAGTCTTTTGTCCTCTGGTGAGGTACCGGGGCTCTATACCCCAGAGGAACTTGAACCTCTCCTCTCCCCACTCCGGGACATGGCCTCAGAGGTCGGCTTTAGGGGCACTCTGGTCAATTTCTTTGCCTCCAGTGAGTCTGACATTGATTTAAAATAGCAAATATAAATGTTTCATATTGCACATGGTGTGAAAATTTTAAAATGGTTGATTTTCAAAATCATTGGCTTGAATTCAGCAGGAAAATTGTTCTTAATTTGATTTATTGAAATTACAATATAAAGTCATGAAAAAATAAATAGAACAAGTTGAAATGATATAAGATTTTTATTTTTTTGTTTTCATGTAGAATTTGTAAAATAATAATGTTAATAGTTGGTGATTTCAGATGTCATCATTTTTTTTTCAAATTTTTTTGAGGCGACAAGATTTTTTTTAGTCAATTCGCTATATCTATAGAAAAAAACATTAAAGTTTGCTTTATTTATATTTTTTCTAGGAATCAAAACTAACCTACATATAGCTCTAATCATGGACTGTACCAACAGTCGGTTCACACTCAACTGTGAGAGTAACCCGGCCTTCTACAAGGAGTGTGCTGTCCAGTGGATGGAGAACTGGAGCAGAGACAGCATGGTCAAGGTAAAAGGATCACTCATATATGTAAATTCTCAGTAGATGACCACGTCTTCAAAAGAAAAATGACTGCAGACACTGACAAAATGTTTTATAAAAATCAAGAGTGTCAGTTGGTTGATCTAGCTCAAATAATAGAGTTGGCTTATTTAAAAGGAAATAGGTTAAAAATATGATGTCTTAATCAATTGTTATTTATTAGATCAAACAATTTTTCATTACGAAGCCAACTGTGTTTAAAAAAAGTGGATAACGATAGATGAAGAAATATTGAATTAATATGAATATTTAATAAAAAATGAAGACCATTTCTGACCTAATGGAAATTAAGGTCATATTAGAAGTTTAAGCTTATCATCCCAATTGTGATGTTACACGTATTAAAATATTTAAGAAAATGTTGTTTAATCTAAATTCTGACTTTGTTTAGGTACCGTATATGTTGCTGACAAAACCTTCCAAGGTAGAGGGCGCCAGTATCGGCGAGAAAAAGACACACAAACGAAAACTGTCAGGAGGCGAGGACTTACTCAAATGTTTCCTTCATGTCCACGAGTCATGTGCAGCAGCAAACATGGGAGCCACGCCGAGGCGTTACATTTCCTTCCTTAATACCTACCAGAAGGTGTACGGTGACAAGAAATCAGGCATTGAGAAAAAACAACAGCATCTTCAGGTAAAACTAGATGTATTTATAGTCCTATGAATGCCATTTTCAAAAATTGCAACTCTGAGAACAATTGTTGTCTTTAATATTTGTCTTTTATAATTTTATATCCATATGCAACAAAACTACTATATGTGTGTTGACAGGCTGGTGTGTCTAAACTCAATGAAGCAAAACAGTTGGTCGATGAATTGAAGAGGAAGGCTGCTGAACAGAGTATACTTCTGGCTGAGAAGCAATCAGAAGCTGACTCGGCTCTCCGAGAAATCACTGTTAGCATGCAGGTAAGATGACTGTGATCAACGATCACAATCATAATGTAAGATGACATCATGAAGTTGATTACTATCTGTGCATTATTAAAATTCCAAACAAAACTTACAGTGGATGTTACTAAGTTTACGATAAATGAAAAAAAAAAGAAGATAAATAAGAAAAAAATGTGAAAAATATTTTAAAAATGTTCTTTAATAATTCTTATCAAAATTGATAGTTGTATCATTCATTCCTTAAAATCCGAATTCATTTGATTTCAAAAACTTGGAAAAACAACAGTAGTATAGTGAAACTTCTATTAAATAAATTGTTAATAAATAATGGGTGATCCAACACTCCTAATGTAGAAAAATGCGGTAGTGTCTCCGGGCGGATCCGTGTAGGATTCGATAGAGTTCCTTACTATGGAAACATAAAACAATAAAAAAGGAATCTCCTGATGACGGCCGCATAGCGGTCGAAACATGTAGACAATGTTCACATGAAGTCTTTGTGGTGTTGAGATTTCTTTTTTATTGTTTTAAATAAATTGTTGTACATTTTAGAATGCCAGCGACCAGAAAAATGAGATGGAGGTACTGAAACAACAAGCTGCTGAGGAGGACAAGGTCCTACAGAAACGTAAGAAAGCTATTGATCTAGAGCTACAGGAGGTGGAGCCACTTGTTCAATCTGCAAAGAAAGCTGTTGGGAACATAAAGACAGAATCCCTGTCCGAGATTCGATCCCTCAGAGCTCCCCCAGATGTTATTCGGGATATTCTGGAAGGTGTGCTTCGACTCATGGGCATTTTTGATACATCATGGGTCAGCATGAAAAGGTGAGTATTTCAGTCTGAAAATTTTCTTATTTTCAAAATTTAAAGATTTTCATTTGTTTACTCAAAGTGCTTTGTATAAATAAGAATCATTTAAACTATTGATTCAAAGCTTTGATATATATGTTATTGAAGCATTTACATGACGTAGATTAACATGGTGCCAAAATGACATATTAATGTCACATGACCTACAGCCATGTGAAGAGATTCAGAATAGTGAGAAGTTCATGTAAGAAATGTAACTATCCCTGAATTATCTTTTTTTTATGGAACAATTTTTTTTCAGCAATGATTATCAGAATTTTTTTTATTATTTTCATTTCATTTAGTTTCCTTGCAAAACGAGGAGTCAAGGAAGACATTCAGACGTTTGATGCTCGTAAGATCAACCCTGATATAAGGAAGAGTGTGGAGGAACTCATTAGGAAAAGCAAAGATTCTTTTGAACCAAAGGTTTGCATTGGTGGCAGGGGAAATAGTTGGCCATAGAACTTGATAAAATACCATATATATCTCTTAAGGGCAATCCGCCCCCCTCCCCACCTCCCTACACTTGGGTCAGTCATACATTAATTATTTTACAAATTTACTACACATCAGCATTGAATATACATGTACTTCCATTACTTAGTAAGTAATATATTGATGTTAATTTCGACTCCTGTAAGTAGATGTACATATGTTTGTTTGGTTTGTGTAATCAGATATTTTAATTGTAAATGTCATTGATTACCAGAATGCTCGACGTGCCTCTCTAGCTGCCGAACCCCTGGCTGCATGGGTGAAGGCGAATGTCCAGTACTCCTATGTACTGGAGAGGATTGAACCACTGGAAACAGAACAGAATGAGCTGCTCAAGTAAGTTGATTCATCAAAAGTGGAAAAAAATGTCGTATTTATATAGAAAAATGATAAATTACCATTCAAATGCACATTTTGTTCAAATAATCTGTGTTGGAATTTTTTGCACAAAAAAAATCAGGTCAAGGTTTGTTCTGATGCATTGTAAGGAAACTCTTTTAATTAGAAGGTATATTTCTCAGTAAAAGGCTGACATCCTTAAGGCCAAATCAGAGCTGTAGAAATCAGCATTATCTGGTATATGATACATCTCATATATTACAAAACCCGAAGAGAGATTTATGTGATTATAAAAAGGTACAGGTTAGACTGTACAAGGTAGTGATATAAAAACTGAACTACTGAATTAAAGAAGATGCAAAAAATCCTAATTTTTGAAGAAGTGTATAACTATCATAATAACAATGATGAAAATATTAACTTTATTTATCTTATAGCGAGTGTAAAACTAGATGTCAGCTTATCACTCTTGCTGGTCCATTGTGTAGGCCTTGTTTAACATACCTATGGAAAGGTGACCGCATGCTTTTCCCTTTTTTTTATTAAGGTGAAAAGCAAGTGTGTTACCATTTCACCTGACCATCCCAATTAGTGTATAAATTATACCAGCACTAAATGTTATGTTCTGTTTCTGCAGGAATTTACAAAAGGCTGAGGCTCGAATGGAGAAGCTGAAGCGAGCCCTCGATGAGGTGGACAGTAAGGTTGCACAGCTGAGAAACAGATTTGAGACCCTTACAAAGGAGGCTGCTGAGCTGAAGATCAAACTGGATAAAGAGAACGAGACAATCCAGGCAGCAGAAACTCTTGTCACGAAACTAGAAGGAGAATATCAGAGATGGAGCAGTCAGGTCAGAGTTATCTCCCTTTTTGTGTCAAACATGAAACATTTATTTATCCTATGGAAAGTAACAGATTCATACAATAATTTTATTAAGTGTTTCCTTTGTTAAAGTATTTTATGAATGAAAATGTATATAATTTGGTCTTTTTAAGAAGTCAGTGGATTTCTTTTGTTGTCAGTTCCAAAATGTGAAAAATCTTCTACAGTGGAATTTTTATGTAGATCTTTACAAAAATTACTTTTCAGGAAATGGAAATGCAGGATATCTTCATTTTAAAGAAAATTTTTTAATCAAATTTCTGATTGTTTTTAAGGAAAATTTTTAACATAATATATTGTTTCCCATAAATTTCAAATTTATTTTTATGGGTAATCTTGACTCTATATATGAAAAATAAAATCATTTCTTTTTTTTAAATACTGTTCAAAGTAAGAATTGGAAAAGAATATATTGGAATACATTGATCAAATCATGTCACATCACTTCTTCTATCTCAAAATACATTGAATATTAGTCATATAAGTATCATATGATAACACAGGTTGGAGAGCTTACAGCAGAGCTGAAAGAGCTACCAAAACGCACCCTAGTGGCAGCGGCCTTCATCACCTACCTGGCTCAGGCACCAGAAGATGTTCGTCGTAACTGTATTAACTCCTGGCTTGAGTCAATGGGAGTCAGTAGATTTGATTTCCGCCGCTTCCTCAGCACAGAAAGCGAACAGCTGATTTGGAAATCTGAGGGATTGCCGTCTGACACGCTGTCCATGGAGAATGCACTTGTCATCCTACAGGTAAAAAAAACCACAAGTCATCAAAATTAATTCCATGAAGGTTGAATGATACATATCAACAAATATATAGGCACAATTGCATGAACATTCAATTTAATGTAAATCATATCCAGAAAAAAATCATAGTGAAAAAATGCTGTATATTGTTTTTGTATATACGTTTCTAGCACATGTGCATGCTCAGATAATATATACGGTATAACCTTACTCTGTATTACTAGAAACTTGCGACTAATAATTACTGATCATATCATATTGTTGCCATTTTGGTTGAATTTATCAAACTTGTTATATACATTTGTATGTATCAAAAAAATAAAATAAGTTATATCATTACAAAGCTCACTTTTCAAAAGAAACCAAAACCAAATATGGCTTTTGTTATAAGTGTCACTTTGCATTTAGTGTGTTTGTAGTAAAATTTGTAAACATATTTTTTGTCAATTACAAATATACATAACAAGTCTTGATACTAAGCTTTATAAATATTATGGCAAATCACTTTGTCATCGAGAGAGGAGGGGGGCGGGCATGATGTCAGTTACGTACGTCATGGAGATATGTTTCGTTGTCTTGGGGTGCATGTTGTCACATTTAGATGGTGAAGGATGGATCAGAAATTAAGTTTTTAGGATGCCCTGTCTCTTCTTATTTTATGATACCTATATTTAGCTTTGAACTTCTTTTTATCTGTTTATTTCTGATTTGTGCCTTTGACAAATTAATTCTATATTTCAGACCTGTTTGTTTATATGAAGTGATAGATTGATATCTACTTTAGAAATGTTTTCAGTGAAAAGGCTTTAAAATCTATAAGAAAGAACAATGATAACGCACTAATTTTTTCTGTTTTGTCGCAGTACAATTCTTGTGGAACTGATCTTACTACTTTGAATGTGACGTACGAAAACAAGCCATATGAAAACTTGATGTTGAAGAAGTTGAAAAACAAATGATTAAAGTATATCTACAGATTGACAAATTATAGATATTTTATTTGCAACACTTTACCTGCTGGCAGAATTTCATTATGTACCTTACAAGGACGGGGAAATATGGATGGGACGTTTTTAGTCACTAAGTTGACTTCATCAGTTTTGGATCTTTTCTTTGATAAACTGAGGAGTTCCCTTTATATTAGGTAGTTTCAAAGATGTGCAGAATTTCAATATTTACATAAGAAGGATTGAACAATCTTGGGGAGTTTTCAAGGTCGAGGTGTTCCTGACCGCAAATGTATTTAGTCCTGAAATTATAGAATTTTCATGGGTAAACTTGGGGTATCATTTTCAGATTTAGAAATTTCAAGAATTTATAGAATGTCAGTGGGTGTAGCCTCACACTAATTTTCATCAGTAAGGAAGCATTAATGAAGACTAAAAGCATGTCTAACCCCAATTCTTATAACTACCTTTTTGAGCTTGTTTGTTGACTGCTTTGTCTGTTTTTAACTTGCCGTGTCAGATGAATGAGATACCAGCCGGGGTAAGCTATATAATCACACAACTCTTCCACACGTTTGATGTCGCCCCTGCCTTGCTTTGATCCTCCATACCAATCACTCTTCCATTTCTTAATTCTGGTGTTTGAATGTGATTATACCACACTTATGCTCTTGATAACTTTCTGTCTAGAATATTTTGTTGTGATATTGTAGCCATTTCTATAAGGTTTTTTTTATTACATTTAGTTTCCGTGAATTATATTACAGGTTTACTGGGATGAAATCATAAGAATGTTTTCTCACTTTCTTTTTAATATTTTTTTTTCATTTTTTTCCCTATTTGAATTCCAAAATCTGAGTACACAAAAAGTATAGATAAGATACAATTCTCTCTATAAAAATCCTGATGTTCATTTAAAGAATGAATATATTTGAGATAATTTGAATATATGATTATAATGTAACTTATGCAAAGCATGGATACATACTGCCATCAATTTCACAGATATTGAAGAAATTAGTCAGAATTAGTAGAACAAAAACGAAAAAAATAGAATTTAGAAATAAACCCTGGAAACTAAATGCCAGTATGGAAAATGAAAGGTTGAATAGGTAAATGAAGTGCATGGCATTATATCAAGGTTCTACTGTAGAATTCATTTGACATTATAAGGAGGTTTTTCCTGTTTACTATTTCCAATGTATACATTGTATGACTCGTTAAGGGTGAAGGAATAGAAAATAGAATAAGAATAGAAATTAATTTCTGATGTTTACTGTATTTTTCAAATCATCATCATCTTTGATTTTTCTTTGTTTACATATTGTGATAAAGAATACAAAAAAGGAATCAATTCTCTTCTTGCTTTAGTTGTATTCATGATATTTCAAAAGCACCATTTCTTTTTCCTGCCACTCTTTGAATCACCGATTTGGCTTTTCTTTCACATGTTCATTGTAGAGTTCAGAAATGGCCGAATTTTGCATTGGTCAGTACATGCTATTATGATCACCACATGTCATAATGTTGCTTTGAGCTTCAGAAGGTCAACCCAGGCAACTTCACGATGTTAGTGTAATATATAAAGCTGGTCATTAGTTAGGTATCTGGCTTGAATAATTATTAAAAAGATAGAGCATGGCTTTAGTTCTTTTGAGCGAGATTCATACTTTGGGAATGTGTTTTTTGCACCTAGATCTAAGAAATTCTGAAATATTCACCAAACCAAACTGATAAAGAGCAGGTTTTTGTTTTATGAATTTTGATATGTAAAACTGTTATTTAAGTAGCTCATTGACTCCAAGTATAGATAAAAATTTAAACAATAGGAATTATTTTAAACTTTACTTATACAAATGTAGGTAAGCTTGTATTTTGTCAACAGCAATATTTAATGAAAGTCTATACATGGAAATAATGGACATGCAAATTTATTCCAAAAACAAATATAAAGTGGAATGATGCATGAATTTCGAAGCAAGACTTGACAATAAGAGATTTTACAAAATCATGTTCTGTTTGTGGTGCTAAATAGACTCTGAAGAGCCTATTGGTCAGGCCAGAGTAGTTTTGTGGTGCAACTGTCCTTATTAATCAAACCAACATCACTAATCTGTTTCACTACCAATCCAATGTTTTGTGGGAACTACAATAGATTCTGTGCGTTTTATCTGAACAGTTACCCACAGGGAATGCAGTAAGTAGTGACTCAAAGTTGACGCAGTTGCCAGCGTATGCTGAACATATATACCCACAGTTTGTCAAGTGGATTTTTCTTTCTTTAAATGTTTTGCTTTCAGTATTTTTCTCTTGAAGACCATGAGCTTTGTCGTGTAGCAATTCTAACTAGTTGCCGTCATTGTTATGAGTTGAAATGTTTGCTTTGTGATTGTAGTGAATATGACTGGATTTGATTGCCTCCATGATTAGAAACAGATTATGTAAATTGAAAGTGGTATCAGGTCTAGTTAGTGTAACTGATGATGATCAGGATGGAAATACTAAAACAATGCATTACTGATGACATCATTGCATTCCTGATGACATCATATGGAAGTTCTCAAATATAAGCATTAAACAAAACATCAAGGGAAATAACTCCAATGAATTTGAAGGAGAATTTGAAAGGTAGCATAAACCCTTAAGTTACGTGATGCTAGTAAGAATAAAAAGAGATAAAACTGAAAGAAATCAGATATTTGTAGCTTTCTCTTATTCCTCATTTTAGCTCTAAAATGAATTTTGAAATATAGGAAGTATTAAATCTTATCTCATAAGTCAATTAATAAGTTCATTTGGGATTTTATTTTGTCAACATAAATATTTGAAGACATATCTTTCCAGTAAGTGGTGTTTGTTTTGGAATTTATTTTAATACACTTTCAGGGTAACAGCAGAGTATACAATGAAAAAATAACTGTTAACTCTTTTATTCATGTATAATTAATTAGAAAAAGATACGTTAATTGTAATAAAAAGTTTTTTTCTCCTTTTTTTCCTTTGGTTTTGCTACATAATTCTTTAATCCAAACAGAAAGTGTTGTTTTGAATCTTATATTCTCATATCTTGTATGATGTGCTCCCTCTCTATAGTCTCCTTTGAAGATTGTTAAGAACAAATAAAACATATGAAAGGATTTTTTTAGATTTTAGAATTGACAGAATTAAATATAACCTCACAGGTTTTTAGATAAAATATGACAAACATTTTTTTCTCATTACAGAGTGCCCTGAGACCATTCTTGGTTGATCCATCATCAAGAGCTACAGAATGGTTGAAAACACATCTAAAAGAGAACCGTTTGGAAGTCATCAACCAACAAGTAAGCTATCAATATGTCAGAATATTTTCTTACATCACAACTCAAATAGAAAAATGGGAATTTAAATGTTTAGCTCTGCAGTGACCATTATAAAGGACTCGCATAACTGAATCAATCACTGTATGTTATTACTAAGCATTTAAGCTAACAGCATTAATATTTTAAGTTCAACACAAGTACCAGCTGTCTAGATTCATAGAAACCTACTTGTCAAAGGCTACTAATGGCATAATTTAGTAGGTTGAATAGCACCTCAGACTGTCTTGCCTTCAGAAGCCAACTATTGGAAGTTTACAAGTGGAACTTACAAACCACGTAGAGAAAAATTCTGACATTTAACTCTTGTCTAAATCTGCCCAATATACATTGACATCTGTTAAAACTATACATTTTCATAAAGACAGATAAATGCAGATTTCTTTCAGATATTATAAATTATAAATTTAAACCCCAGAGGGCACAAACTTTTACTGGTAGATCTCACAGATCTCAATTTAGGTAGGGATTTGGATATGGAAGGGAATCCCAGTCACTCATTGGCTGATTTAGGTGCATGAGTCCTTTGAACTGTACAGACAGGATGCAGTATTTTTTTTTCTTTCTTGTTTTTTCAAAAGAATTTAACCAAAATTTGATTATGAAATTTTGGCAGTTTTCTTTTTACAAGTGAAATATTTTTTCATAAAAATGGTAAGGATTGATACAATACAGGGGATAAATCAATGCTGGTCAGTCAACCATTTTGATCTACCATGACAGTAATGATTTGGTGTTGCAGGATGCAAATTTTTCAACTTCTCTGGAGCTGGCTGTTCGGTTTGGTAAAACCCTCATCATACAGGAGGTAGATGGAGTGGAGCCTGTACTATACCCATTGCTGAGAGGCGATCTCATGGCTCAGGGTAGGTAATTCTAGAAGTGATCTTGTAACCCCCGGTAGGTAACTCTACATCCAACTCTTCTCCAGATTTTGTGAATTTTTATTGGGTTGGGGTAAGTAATTCTTTCCAATACTGAGAATGACTCCATAGTTCAGGTAACTTTATCTCTATACTAAAGAGAGTTCTCATCAAAGATGTGCAACTCATATTCTTTAACATTCAGTTTAGGATTAGTCCAGTCTTAAATGTAAAAGAACTGCGCAGTTTTATTACCCTTCAGAATGTTTAATTTATCTTTTTGTGACTTTAGGACCAAGGTACGTTGTCCAGATCGGAGAAAAGACAATTGATTACAATGAAGAATTCAGACTTTTCCTTACAACACGTAATCCTTCCCCGGAGATTCCCCCAGATGCATTCTCCATCATCACAGAAGTGAACTTCACTACCACCAGGGCTGGCCTCACAGGACAGGTTAGTTGTTTTACCTGTGCTTCATATTTTGTATTTTACCTTCATTTACCTGCTGTGTTATAGAACATGATAAAAAGAAAATTTTATATCAAATAATTATGCTTTTGGTCTGTTATGCAAATATTTTTGGGACTCAGATATTTGAGTCCTAGACTCATACTTTTCCTGTGAGACTCAAATTTTTTAGAACTGACTATATCTCTTATTAATTTGACTCATCAAAATTTTCGAAATTATGCTCCAAATCTTATAAAATTAGTGTTTATGTCTAAGTGTTGACAATTTCAATTTGACCTTTTTGTTGACCTTTCATTTGATTCTTAATGTCCACCATTCCTCTCTTGTCCTATTAAATTCTATGTTCACTGATAATCATAACCTTTTTGCTTACAATTCTGATGTCAGTTTTGACCTCGTGTTTTTATAGCTGCTGGCCAACACCATTCAGAATGAAAAACCTGAATTAGAAGTGAGGAAAACAGAATTACTGAAGACTGAGGAGGATCTCAAAATACAACTGGCCAAACTAGAGGAGTCACTTTTAGAGGTAAGGATCTGATGATGGGCGGGGCTTATGTGAAGAGGAGGATTCACTACTGGAAGTCAGGGGTTAATGACAAAGGGCGGAGTCACTGCTTGAGATTAGGGGTTGGGCTGATATAAAGAGGAGAGTCACTAATGGAGGTTAGGGGTTGGGCTGATGTAAAGGGGAGAGTCACTAATGGAGGTTAGGGGTGGGGCTGATGTAAAGGGGAGAGTCACTAATGGAGGTTAGGGGTTGGGCTGATGTAAAGGGGAGAGTTACTAATGGAGGTTAGGGGTTGGGCTGATGTAAAGGGGAGAGTCACTAATGGAGGTAAGGGGTTGGGCTGATGTAAAGGGGAGAGTCACTAATGGAGGTTAGGGGTGGGGCTGATGTAAAGGGGAGGCATCACTATTGGAGGTTAGGGGTTGGGCTGATGTAAAGGGGAGGCATCACTATTGGAGGTTAGTGGTGGGGCTAATGTATAGAGATGAATCATTCCTGGAGGTAAGGGGTGGGGCTAATGTATAGAGGTGAATCATTACTGGAGGTTAGGGGTGGGGCTAATGTAAAGGGGAGAGTCACTAGTTGAGACTAGGGGTGGGGCTAATGTAAAGGGGAGTGTCACTAATGGAGGTTAGGGGTTGGGCTGATGTAAAGGGGAGAGTCACTAATGGAGGTTAGGGGTTGGGCTGATGTAAAGGGGAGAGTCACTAATGGAGGGTAGGGGTGGGGCTGATGTAAAGAGGAGAGTCACTAATGGAGGTTAGGGGTTGGGCTGATGTAAAGGGGAGGCATCACTATTGGAGGTTAGTGGTGGGGCTAATGTATAGAGGTGAATCATTACTGGAGGTTAGGGGTGGGGATAATGTAAAGGGAAGAGTTACTAGTTGAGACTAGGGGTGAGGCTAATGTAAAGGGGAGGAGTCACTTCTGACTGGGCAAATGTAAAAATGAGAGTCACTACTGGAGGTTAGGGGTAGGGCTAATGTGCAGAGGTGAATCACTACTGGAGGTTAGGTGTACAGCTAATGTAAAGAGTCACTACTTGTGGTCTATGACAATCTGTTTTATGGAACTTTTGTCTTCTGGAACACCTTAAGCCCATAATAGTGGATGTAACACCTGTTAAATGAAATAGATAATTATATAATCTGTAGTCAGAAGTGGGTTAATGTAAAGTGAAGTTAGGGTAGGGATTAATATTATTATAATAATGAGTAGTTATTTCTATAAGTGGGGAAGGAGTCAAGCGAAAGGCTTAAAGGGGAGGGCCACTACTGGAAGCTGAGGATTAAGGCAGGGATAATTTAGGAAACTGAGAGTCTTGATTTGGGAATAGTATTATACTTGCTAAAGATGATTTGAAACTTGCTTTAAAATTCTTTACTTGCTGTTAACCTTTACAGGAGCTGGCAAATGCCAAGGGTAACATCCTTGAGAACAAGGAACTGTTGGATTCTCTGAACAAGACTAAGGCCAGCAGTATAACCATCACAGACTCCCTCACCGAGTCAGTGAGACTCCAGGCCTCCCTTGACCAGGTCAGTATATAACTATCATTAAAACTATCATAGACTCCCTCACTGAGTCAGTGAGTCAGTGAGACTCCTCATATCCCTCGTTCAAGTCAGTATATAGCCATCACCAAGTCAGTGAGACTGCACCCCTCCCTCTACCAGATCACTTGGTTTAAAACTAATTAGGATTTCTGGATACACTTGCTTTCCAAGTTATAATCTGATTTTTGATATTGCTAGATGATGTCAATTTTGATCAATGGAATTAATTGGCATTGTCATTTTCATCGTTAGTTTATAAGAAAAACAAATTCTGGAAGATGATATTTCTTTAGATAACAGTTTATTTGAATTATGAAATAAAATGCAAATCTTTAATTCACATTTGGAATCCCATGCATATTACAAAGTGATCTTTGATTGTGAAATACTCATGATCATCATCTATTGTTCGTCAGCTTTTTAGTATGTTAAATTGTATTTTGTACAAGGCTCATGTTTGATAATTTCATTTTCTGTTGAGTACAGGAGAGAAATACTTACCTACCATTGGCAGAAAAAGGCAGCACATTATACTTTGTTATTAGTGACCTTGCCAAGATCAACAACATGTACCGCTTCAGTCTGGCAGCATTTCTGCGACTCTTTGCTCGAGCACTCAGCTCAAAACAGGTAAGTCATATATTACAATCATTTAATCTCTGAATAACTTTTGTTAAAAGTTTTACATTAGTATTAAATCAGAAGAAAGGATGAAAATTTCCCTGCAAATTTACCTTAACATTTTTACATGTATTTTGGTTTGTATTTATTTAGGATGGAAGTGGTACAGATCATCGTATTCAGAAACTGGGTCAGCGATTGCAACAACTTGTGTATGAATATGTGTGTCGTTCCATCTTCAAGACTGACCGTCTCATGTTTGCCTTGCATATGGTTCATGGAATGAGACCTGACCTCTTCCAGGAAAATGTAAGCAATAAAGTGTACAAATGTAATTACTTGGTTAGGAAAACTTTTCTATGATGTATCCTTTCATCAGAGGAAGGATTTATGAATGAAATGCTTTTGTAATACCCAAACATAATATGGCTGAAATTAAGGGTTCCTTCATGGTCCCCATAACAAAGTTTATTGTATGAAACTCTTTCTGGTCTTTTTCTGTATTAGCAATTTTAATTCTATTAAATTCTAATTTCAAAAATTAGATTTATGATAAAATTACCCACAAATTTAAGACTTCTGTGTCATTCTAGATTGGACATTATGTCCTTGAAGAAGATCTTTTGATTTATGATATCTATATGCCGTTACATGTATATAGATTGGAAGATATTCGTTAATTTTTACACATAATATTCATTTTGAGTGGTTGGGATGAAAAAAATGCCAGTGGATTCCCAAATAAATATATTTCAGGTCTTCTGGTAATTCTAGTAAATATATGGAATTTACACAAAATTGCGGTGTACAGATGTGTTTATCTGAAAGTCCAGGGAAAGCATTCTATATATCCCTGTGGTACAGCTGTTTATATCCATTACTTATGATACCAAATTGATCAGCTTGCCTTAAGGAATCTCGGAACAAAAATAATTTGAGTTATGATAAAAACTAAAATGTGAAGATTGTTTTAACAACTCTTGATATAAAAAAATACTGTAAATCACTCAGATTTCATTAATTCTTTATTTTGCAAACTTTCCTCTGCAGACAAATTTGCAATTTTGTGAATGCTGATCTAAAAATGACTTTAAATTCCTAAATGATGAGTTATTAGAGACCGCGACTCTTAAAGAGTCCGGTATCAGGAACCAAATTAATATGCATGCCATTCAGAGTTATTTTTTGTACAAATAATTGCAAGTGATTTGAATTTGTAAATGACCCTCTTCATGTATTAAAGCGAAAATAATTCCCACATGAAATATATATGATTAACAGCACATTCTTTGTAAACAACAAAATTCTGTGTAAAGCAACGATTGTTTTTGTTTCAATAGGAATGGGAGCTGTTCACCGGGATGCTGGTGGGTGAATCTGATTCTCAGCGAGGACCAAGCTGGGTGGACCCAGAGCGTATGGCCGCAATGGCCAGTCTTAAGGTTGGTCATCCACTCTTACTGACCACTGTAAATTATGACTCAAAAATGTTTACTTTAGGTTTCATCTCATTTTATCTCTTCCACTGTAAATTATGACTCAAAAAAATGTGATTAAGTAAATCATGATTTTCAAATGTACTGTATACTTCTAATGTATTACAGAAAAAACCAGCTGGAAACTGTAGTTAAAAAGAAAAAGATAAATACCCAGGGTGATAAAAATACATTATCATTGTATTGGATATTTATCACAGTAAACTACCACTTTATCTTGTCAAATAAAAAAAAGAATTAGAAAGTTTAGAAAAATCACATGTTTACTTTAGGTTTCATCTCATTTTTATTTCTTCCACTGCAGTCCAATTTACCCAAACTGTATCAGCAGTTCAACTTTGATGATTCATCCATGTGGTCAAGTTTTTCCCGGAGCAGCGAGTGTGAGACAGAGTTTCCATCAGTGATCGAGAAAAAGACCACTCTGTTCCAACAGCTGTTAACTGTACAGACCATCAGGCCAGACCGACTTCAGACGGCCATGGGATTATTTGCCTGTAAAGCTCTTGGTAAGTAACAACTTCCCTGGTGATGTTTTGGCAAATCACATCCCCTTTCCATTCTGTCCTGTCTCATCCTGGTATGTAGAGATTATGCTTATAATGCTTAGTGATAGGTATTTTCTAACTTGCATATTCAAGTTATAACATCTTTGTGAGGTATTTATATGGCCATTTTAGTGACACTGCCATTTTAAAGGTTATGCTGTCACTTATGTCTGTCCTCCCATCCCAGTCTGTCCCATTCTGTCATGTCAGGAATCACCATCATCAGTCAGTCTACTTTAGGATTTTTCAATGATTGTTGGAGATTTGATTTACTTTGCTAATCATTAACTGATAATTTATATCTTGTTTTCCTCAATAAAAATCTTGCCTATCCAGGTGATTAAAGAACATTAAAGTTTCTACGATCTTATACTGGAATATAAATGAGCTACGGAAATTAATGTTTAATCTTGTATATAGACATGAAGGAACTATCTTCACCATCGGTAAATCTGAAGAAGCTGTTTGAGACAGAAACAATGGCTGAGGAACCCATCCTTATAGTAATCTCCCCTGGGGCTGATCCTTCACAGGAGCTTCAGGAGCTGGCAGCAGAGGTGATCGGCCATGAAAAGTATCACCAGGTATGTTAAACCTATTTACTGTCCCAACATGTATTTCATCAAAATTTGTCTAGCAAAATTTTTATCAACAATAGCATTTTATGTATTAAATAAGTTAACTGGAATCCAAGAAGTTCTAGTTCTGAACATAAAGAATAATTTTGTTACCTGAAAGTGACAGATTTCTCTTTTTCCTTCAGTAAATGAAAAAAAAGTTATTGTAACTTGTTTGAGATTTAGATGATATTATATTAAGATGCTAGTTTAATTAGTTGAACAAATGTTTTTCCCTTTCGATGCCAGACATTGAAACACTAGCATTCAAACTCTGTTCTAGTAATGGAAAAAGAACTAAGGCAGTGTCATATGATATGGTTAAATGAATTAATTTGCTTCATTATCCTATTCTAAATTTGTAGCCTAAGCTGTGTGGTTTGATAAAATTTTTAGGATGAAATTTTTCTTAAAAATGTTGGAATTGTAGCATAAAGTGAAAATCATGAATTCTATGTAGGTCGCCATGGGTCAAGGTCAAGCAGACATTGCCATGCAGTTACTGCGGGACTGTTCTCAGAATGGCGAGTGGTTGTGTCTCAAGAATCTCCATCTGGTGACAGCCTGGTTGCCACAGCTGGAAAAGGTAGGTAACTCTAGATATGATTAACAATGTCTCGGATTATGATACACTAATATCATGGCTTGTGTATAGGAGTTGTGATGGGTTAATCGTGATGAATATGTATGGAAATGGACAGGGATGTACTCAAAATATTACTATGTACCGGGAAATTTTCAGCCCCTTTTATTTTTGTTTTTTCTCCATGAATAGGCAGGGCAAATTTAAGATGGAAGCAAAAATTTGTTTCACTAATGTTACCATTTATACAATCCTCAGAGGGTGAAATGTACCCATTTATATAATCCTCAGAGGGTGAAATGTACCCATTTGTATAATCGTCACAGGGTGAAATGTACCCATTTATATAATCCTCACAGGGTGAAATGTACCCATTTATATAATCCTCAGAGGGTGAAATGTACCCATTTATATAATCCTCAGAGGGTGAAATGAACCCATTTATATAATCCTCAGAGGGTGAAATGTACCCATTTGTATAATTGTCACAGGGTGAAATGTACCCATTTGTATAATTGTCACAGGGTGAAATGAACCCATTTATATAATCCTCAGAGGGTGAAATATACCCATTTGAAATATACCCATTTGTATAATTGTCACAGGGTGAAATGAACCCATTTATATAATCCTCAGAGGGTGAAATATACCCATTTGTATAATCCTCAGAGGGTGAAATATACCCATTTGTATAATCCTCAGAGGGTGAAATATACCCATTTGTATAATCGTCACAGGGTGAAATATACCAATTTGTATAATTGTCACAGGGTGAAATGAACCCATTTATATAATCCTCAGAGGGTGAAATGTACCCATTTATATAATCCTCAGAGGGTGAAATATACCCATTTATATAATCCTCGGAGGGTGAAATATACCCATTTGAAATATACCCATTTATATAATCCTCAGAGGGTGAAATATACCCATTTGTATAATCCTCAGAGGGTGAAATATACCCATTTGTATAATCCTCAGAGGGTGAAATATACCCATTTGTATAATCCTCAGAGGGTGAAATATACCCATTTGTATAATCCTCAGAGGGTGAAATGTACCCATTTATATAATCCTCAGAGGGTGAAATGTACCCATTTATATAATCCTCAGAGGGTGAAATGTACCCATTTATATAATCCTCAGAGGGTGAAATGTACCCATTTATATAATCCTCAGAGGGTGAAATATACCCATTTGTATAATCCTCAGAGGGTGAAATATACCCATTTGTATAATCCTCAGAGGGTGAAATATACCCATTTGTATAATCCTCAGAGGGTGAAATGTACCCATTTATATAATCCTCAGAGGGTGAAATATACCCATTTATATAATCCTCAGAGGGTGAAATATACCCATTTGTATAATCCTCAGAGGGTGAAATATACCCATTTGTATAATCCTCAGAGGGTGAAATAAACAAGCAGTTCATGTACAGTGATGAAAATATCTTGATATACAGTGAACTTTTTTCTTGGATCATACATCTGTTAAGACTGATTATCAAACCTTCGATGTATCACCAAATTCAGTTGCTGCCCTCCCCTAAACAGTTCTATGTGTGGAATAGCCTCCAGTAATTATATATGCGAGTCCCCAGACTCAGGATGTTCATTTACAGTTGTTGTATAGTAGCCTCCAGTAATTATATATGTGAGTCCCCAGACACAAGATGTTCATTTACAGTTCTTGTATAGTAGCCTCCAGTAATTATATATGTGAGTCCCCAGTCACAGGATGTTCATTTACAGTTGTTGTATAGTAGCCTCCAGTAATTATATATGTGAGTCCCCAGACTCAGGATGTTCATTTACAGTTGTTGTATAGTAGCCTCCAGTAATTATATATGTGAGTCCCCAGACACAGGATGTTCATTTACAGTTGTTGTATAGTAGCCTCCAGTAATTATATATGTGAGTCCCCAGACACAGGATGTTCATTTACAGTTCTTGTATAGTAGCCTCCAGTAATTATATATGTGAGTCCCCAGTCACAGGATGTTCATTTACAGTTCTTGTATAGTAGCCTCCAGTAATTATATATGTGAGTCCCCAGACACAGGATGTACATTTACAGTTCTTGTATAGTAGCCTCCAGTAATTATATATGTGAGTCCCCAGTCACAGGATGTTCATTTACAGTTCTTGTATAGTAGCCTCCAGTAATTATATATGTGAGTCCCCAGACACAGGATGTACATTTACAGTTCTTGTATAGTAGCCTCCAGTAATTATATATGTGAGTCCCCAGTCACAGGATGTTCATTTACAGTTGTTGTATAGTAGCCTCCAGTAATTATATATGTGAGTCCCCAGACACAGGATGTACATTTACAGTTCTTGTATAGTAGCCTCCAGTAATTATATATGTGAGTCCCCAGTCACAGGATGTTCATTTACAGTTCTTGTATAGTAGCCTCCAGTAATTATATATGTGAGTCCCCAGACACAGGATGTACATTTACAGTTGTTGGGGTTGCTGTTACCATTTCTATGTGAGACTGACTTTCATATCTGACTTAAGTTTCACTAGCATTCCTTAATTAAAGATTTAGTATATAAAAATTATGACAAGTTTTTTTTAAAACAGAACATTTTCCTCTTGACAACATCGATATTACGATATAATTGATGTAAACATGCTGGTAGTTTTGGAAAGAATGCCTTTAATTGATTAATGTTCATGTATCCAAGACCTTTGGAATAATAACTATGTTTATTCTACCATTTTCATCAAGATTTGTGCAGTACTTTTATAATTAGTCTAACTTGGTAATTAGTTTAGTTCACTGACTGATAGATACAAACATTTTAAGGACGAGATTTTGTCGTTTGTCTTAAGGAGGCAGAGTTTTTTATTTTACTTTATACTTTATTTCTACTTGTCTGTAGGAGATTAACACGCTGAAGCCTCATGCTGACTTCCGTTTGTGGATGACAGCGGAGGTTCATCCAAAGTTCCCCACCATCCTTCTACAGAGCAGCCTCAAGATCACTTACGAGGTAAATCTATCAATCACAAATATCTACACAGGCTTCTTTTGTTAAAACTTTGTAGAAATTTGTTGGAAGCACACACATTTTGTTCAGAATAATTCTTTGTCAATAGAATTTGTTAAAAAGAGTTTTAAGTGATTAAGTAATTTATCAAAGAAATAAATTTTGATTCCTTTCTCTGATTTAAATCAAATTTCTATTTAGTTTATTAAAATGTTGCTTTCCTATTAGTGTTGGTCATTTCTTTTGCTAATAAAGAAAAATCGTCTCAAAGTTTTACAAGTTGAAAGTCATTTATGTAATTTTGTCCAGTAGGGAATGCTTAATCATTGTTTTTTTTAATTTGGTATCAGGCCCCACCAGGTGTAAAGAGAAACTTGTACCGTTCATTCGAGACCTGGAGTCCGGAGTATTTCAGTAAGACTGGCAGTGTGATACGATCTCAGGCTATGTTTGCTTTGGCTTGGTTCCACGCCATCATGCAAGAGCGACGAGTCTTCATCCCACAGGTTTGTTATATGTATCATCTCAAGTCTTCACATACTGTTCTGTCCGAGAGTGTTACAGTGAAATTTGTGAGACCTGGCATATTAGACAGATTGGACAAGGTGTTAGCAATCACAGAATTTTTCATTTTTTTTTAAACAGATGTTTAATTCTTGTTTTCACCAGTTTTTTAAAATTCATAAAAGTTCATAAATGTGCTAAAATTTTTGTACATCAAAATGAATTTGTTCTATAGTAAATGTCTTTTATGTTTAGGGTTGGACCAAGTTCTATGAGTTTTCTCTATCAGATCTCAGGGCTGGAGCAGACATCATTGATCGACATTGTAAAGGGGGTAAGGCATTTCTTGCTTTTAAATATGAAATTTTGAACTGTTTTATACGCATCCCCATACCTATTCATGAGAAGAGACCTGAACACAATCATCCTAGAATTTAATGTAATTTTGAAAGAATTACACATCAATTCTTCAAGGTATGATTTCAGCTGCAAGATTATGAAATTTTAAAATTAAGAAAAAGATATAGAAAAATAAAAAAAGGAGGTGCTGTCTTCATGCTTATTATAAAAAAGAAATTTGATCTTGAAAACCTTGTTTAAAGATGAATCTTTTTACATCTTTGTCTTACTTACCTCAACATTCACATTAAATTTTGTTCTCAATTCTCATCCTTGTGGTATTCCTTCTCCAGGTCAAGATGTCCAGTGGTCGTTCATCCATGGTCTTTTTGAGTTTGCAATCTATGGTGGTCGAGTGGACAATACATTTGACATGCGAGTGATGGTGTCATACCTTCGACAGTTCTTTGATGCCAACACGTTATCACCCCAGAACAGGAACAAACGGCTAGGACCAATACGTCTCCCTAATTCCACCAATATATCAGACTTCACGGCTGCAATTGCAGAGCTGCCTGAGTTTGACAACCCATCATATTTTGGTCTACCTGACAACATTGACAGGTCAGCCCAGCGTATGGTCAGCTCACAGGTCATTTCGCAACTCAAAGTCCTCCAGCGTGCCAATGTCAAAGCCAGCAGGTTTGACAAGGAAGTTTGGGCCAATGAACTAAGCCCCATCCTCAATCTCTGGAAAACCCTTAACAAGGTAAAGAATAAGTTATGGTTATAATCCTTAACAAGGTAAAGAATAAAGTTATGGTTATAACCTTAAACAAGGTAAAAAATGAAGTTATGGTTATAACCCTCAACAAGGTAAAGAATAAGTTATGGTAATAATTCTCAACAAGGTAAAGAATAAAGTTATGGTTATAATCCTTAACAAGGTAAAGATTAAAGTTATGGTTATAATCCTTAACAAGGTAAAGATTAAAGTTATGGTTATAATCCTTAACAAGGTAAAGAATGAAGTTATAGTTATAACACTTAATGAGGTAAAGATTAAAGTTATGGTTATAACATTAAGTTGTGGAGATGAAACTTCAGCTTTACATAATAAAAGGCTAATAATCGAGTGACCTAGAAAAAAAAATCGGCAATAATTGTTGGCCACCCATTTTTTCCGTCAGATATTTTATGTTGGTGTGTATAACATTTTGACTAATGTAGTATTTATAGCTGTTTAGCTTTGTAATTTAAACTGTAGGTCATCAAACTTTTTATTTCACTATATCTTGAAGGAATTCACACTTATCGTCACAGTGACCTATATTTTTCACTTCATTTACGTTTTTTGTAGTTCAACATTTAGCACTAGTTTTTTGTTGGACTTTTCTTTCCATCAAAGACATTTTTAGATAAATGAAGATAAAGTTTAAATCTTATCTAACTTTAAGAACTTTTTGGCCTTCCCTAGAGTGTGCTTTATAACATTTTTCGATTTCTTGTGATTAAAGGGTTCCCAGATTATCCAGATGAGGATAAGTCCGCCGGTGGCAAAGTCTGGACAGGAGTCTCCGATCCTGTCATTCATCTTCTTGGAGCGCTATAATGCTGTCAAGCTCGTCCAGACGATACATCACTCTCTTGCTGCACTGAGCAAGGTGATCAGGGGCACTCAGCTTCTGACCAGTGAGGTCCAAGGCCTGGCTGCAGCCCTACTCAACCAAGAGGTAACACATGATACTGTCAGAAGGATCTGTTTCTACTGTATGTTACTTGCAATAATCTCTTGCCAGTTTAAGTGATCACCATCCTCTGTTACAGTTTCAACAAAAATGCCATCAAATGCTGTATCACTACTTGACACAACTTGCTACAGAATTTGTCATATAGCTAACTTTAGGCCACTTTTCGCATAACGTAGTTTAAGCGGCCCAGAATTTTCCCAAGATTTATGAACGCAGCTGTACTGGGTGTAGGAACAGTTTTCAGTTAAGCTAAAAATGCTTGTTTTCGGAATTTCCTGACAAACTTAAAGCATTGAACCAAGACTAAGATATCATCCATTTTAACTCATATTTCATAGCATAGCACCCCTCAATCAGGATAGGCCAAATATTCAGAAGTCCAGCCTCGGTCCCAATCTGTACTTGGCAGTTTTCTTGCAGGTTCAACTAGTCTAACTGTTTTAAGGGCTCCCTTGAAAGCAACTTTTAATATCCAGTTATGGCCATGTTTTAAATTTTCAGAAATAAATTAATGATTTTTTCATGTAATTACTACAACAGTAATATTTCTTTTATGTTTTACATTTGCATTAATTAATTTTCTATTTATGTTCTAGACACCTTTGAACTGGCTGTCTAAGTGGGATGGACCTGAAGACCCTATTGTATACCTCCGTGGGCTTGTAGCCAGGGCAACTGCCATTCAAAAATGGGTTGACAAGGCAGAGAATGGAAGCTTACTACGGGACCAATTAGATTTGTCAGAACTCTTCCATCCAGATACTTTCCTTAATGCTCTCCGTCAACAAACAGCAAGGTACAGTTTCATCTTGGCAAGAATTTCATCTGCCGAAAAAAAGAAACACAAAATGTTTAGGATGAAAATCGATTTATCAGCTTTACAAAACATATGAAGTAATTCAAAAGGAAAAGTTGATGATAAGAAGGATGATAGAAGCTCTGCTACAACATAAGCTTAATTATCTAATTGATCTGGAATAAAAAAAAATTCCCACATGGTATACATAGCTGTTCTTCAGCATATTACTACAAACTGAATTTCAAATGAAATAATTTTGCTATCTGGTAATAAATGTCAAAAACAGTTTTGACTTTTGCTACACAATGTACAGACCTGGTATCTACCACAATTCATCATAAACATATCTAAACTGAAGGAAATGAGATTTTGTGATTTTAATTTTGACATGATCGTAACTATTGGTTTTGTCTTTTCTATAGAGAGATGGGGTGCTCTATGGACAGTCTGAAGTTTGCTTGTACCTGGAAGGGCTCGATCCAGGGAGCACGAACAGTTGTCAAGTTAGGTGGACTTCAGATCGAAGGATGCAACTTTGATGGGTCCAGGCTCTCAGACAACCAGCGAGACTCGCCTAGTGTAGCTGGTATACCTCCTTGCGTGATCGCTTGGGTACCAAAGGTAGGATTTGTCCAGAGTTACTGCCCCTTGTTTTTTTTATAAAGTTAATCCTTTCGAATTCAATTAATCTTGGCATTTTCTATGTTATTTCATTTTTAATGGCATTTGCTTTAAGCCTATATGTGTAAGGTTAAGATCAGTTCAAGTTCAAAGTTCAAATTGTCTATTTTCAGGCTGAACTTTATACAAAGTAAATATGTGAATTTTTGGTAATTTCAGAATTTTGTCAAAAGTAGTCGGCATTTGATTAGAGATATGTGTTTGGTAAATTTAACAGAATCAAATTTTATTATCAAGAATTAAGTTTGAAGTAATCAATACATTAAGAAATGTGAATTTTACATTTGCTGTTTGTATTAAATATAATATTCACAGTGTTTGGATCCTTAAAATTTCGGGTCTTGTATTTCTATTATATAATTTTTTTACCAACAGGATGCCCCATCACCATACGGCCTAGATGATGTGATCACCATTCCAATCTACTACAGTGCTGAACGAGATCGTATCGTAACCAGACTTGAGGTCCCGTGTGGCGGTAACCAGAATCACTGGCTACAGTGTGGCGCCGCCCTCTTCCTCCGCAGTCAGTGACGAAGGCTGTGATAGCATGATACAAACTTTATCTTATTTTGGGAAAAATAAGATCGCTTTGTTTTGTTGAAAATGATGTGTTTTTTTGAGAAGAACAGTTGTGATTTTTTTGTAAAATTGAACCAATATTGTGATTGTGATGAAACTGACAACACAGAATTAAGCATGGTGGATATGAGACTGAAATTAACAAATGTTTAATGAAATGTATATTCCTTGGTACAAAAATTTAAAGCTCAAAGTAGACTCTACACAGAAAAAAAAATATGCATTGCTAAAAGAAAACCTGAAATACCACTTACACATTTTGTTTATATCATAAGGAAAGTTGTGAACTGCATATCAGTCATAGTTCAGTTATTTATAAAATGTCCAAGACATTGATATCAATTTTGATATTTATTTATTTTATTTTTTTTTTTTTTTGTGAGTTGAAAATTTGTTTCTACATGTATTTGACTTTTATGTGATAGTCTGTGATAAAGTGAACAATTGATACATATTTATTATTATTATCATAATTTCCGTCCATTTTGTAAAGATAAAGTTGTGAATATTAAGGCAGAATATCAAAGTACCTGTATTAAAGTGTCATAAAATTATGGTTTTGTTTGTGATTATTGGAGCCTTGCATGTTACATGTGGGTACCATATAGTAATAAAGTTGTCCATTTGTCTGTTATTTTGTTTTGGCACAATATCTGTTGGGCCAGATGCACTCAAATTTTACCCTATGCTACTTCAAAGGAAGTGCTTGTGTGGGAGTGATATTTGAGGTCAAAGGTCAAGGTCACTGTTACTATGACTATAAATTATGCTATCATATTATATATTATTCATCATGCTATTAGATGATAGAGAATCAAAACATACTCAAATTAGATTTAATTGGCAGCATAAAGGACTGACATTCAGTAAAATCAGAGATCATGGGAGTGATTTTGAGGTCAAAGGCAAGGATACTGTTACTATAATCAGGAATTATTTTACACAAATTTATCTTATTGGTAGTAGATGATAGAGAATTTCTTTTTTACTGGCACCTTAAAGGACTGACAATCGGTATTGTCTGAGATGATGTGATAACCTGTATATTACTGTAGATTATCTATTCCCTCTTGATGTCAGCAAAGATAAATTTATTTTCTTATCCGACCAAACGTTTCTGTTCTTCTTGATGTCAGCAAAGATAAGTTTATTTTCTTATCCGACCAAACACTTCTGTTCTTCTTGATGTCAGCAAAGATAAGTTTATTTTCTTATCCGACCAAACACTTCTGTTCTTCTTGATGTCTTATCTGACCAAATGATTCTGTCCCTTTAGATGTCAGTAAAGATGGGTTACTGTCTTATCTGACCAAATGATTCTGTCCCTTTAGATGTCAGTAAAGATGGACCAAACACTTCTGTTCTTCTTGATGTCAGCAAACATAAGTTTATTTTCTTATCCGACCCTTCACTTCTGTTCTTCTTTATGTCAGCAAATATAATTTTATTTCTTATCCGACCAAACACTTCTGTATCTGACCAAATGATGTCAGCTGTCCCTTTAGATGTCAGTAAAGATGGGTTACTGTCTTATCTGACCAAATGATTCTGTCCCTTTAGATGTCAGTAAAGATGGGTTACTGTCTTATCTGACCAAATGATTCTGTCCCTTTAGATGTCAGTAAAGATGGGCTACTGTCTTATCTGACCAAATGATTCTGTCCCTTTAGATGTCAGTAAAGATGGGCTACTGTCTTATCTGACCAAATGATTCTGTCACTGTTGATATCTGTAAAGACAGGTTTACTGACACACTGTCTTACTTGACAAATGATTCTGTCCCACTTGATGTCAGTAGAGACAGATTAAATAAGTCTTTTTGATAATGGCCCCAAAACAATAACAAAAATCAGTTTACAAATATTGTTTTTTTATTGAGCACTTTATAACTGAAATATTTGTAGAATTTCATTGATGATGATGATGGTTACCTTTAATAAAAACATAGATAAAATGTTGATCATTTCACATAATGCACAGAAAATGACCAATAACGATATAAATTAACTAAAAATAACACATGTTGGAATAATTCTCCAGAAAAAACATGCCATTTTCATGAAATATTGATAAATATTTTTTTCAAAAACTTAAAACAAAAATCAATGTTTCTACTGCAAAAATATAATACTTAGGACCATCTACAATCCTTGAGACTCAATCCTGCCACCTACAATTTTCTATGAATAAAGAATTGAAAAAAAAAATAAATAAAAAGGGTCTGAATGGTAAGTAGGATGACCAAATAACTAGTTGATAACTTATTTTAAAGAATACAGATAATTATTTTAAATGTAATAGATAATATATGACACTATTGTTTAAGATGAAAGTTCCCAGAGAAAATAATATGTAAAAAATGATTTTATACTCTTTCATAAATTTCTTATTTTTATGCACAAGAAATATTCATAATTTTATAACAAGTATTTGAAATCAATACAAATATTTTATTTCAGCAGGAATGTGTGTGGTGTTGTGGAATTAAAAAAAGATGGTACCAGTACATTTGTATAAATGAAACATTTTAATGTTCTTTTTCAGTTTGAAACTCAAACAATGAAATGAAAATGCAATGAAAGGAGATTATAAGACATAATTTACATGTATGATGTATCAACACATGCCTAGATATGTTCACTCCTAAATAATGTAATGTAACTCCATACTTGTTTTAGGGATGTCCTGCTTATCTATGTGCAGATTAAAATTTTTAGTTTGATCAATAGCAGAAAGTGCTCCTTTAAATGATTGTAAAGAAAGTCTAAAGATGTACCTTAATCAATATTTAACTATCAGGAATCTATGCTAAAATAAATACTTCACAAAAAAGGAATAATTTGCGGTAACTCACAACATCATGGAAACATTGATCACCAGGATATAAAAAATACTTTGTGAATGAGTTTGTCAAGTAATGAATAAAATCATCTTGCTTTAAGTGTATGAAGGACTTTTAAACAGTTATAATTTTGGAATGAATATGGGACAATATAGTATTTGTGACATACTACACTGTACTATGCTGTACAACAGTACAGTGGAACTTGTCCAATCTAATCCCACATAAATCTCACAGCCTGTCACATTTAGCATACAACTTTTTAACTCTATTCCCTACACAAGCTTCCACATTAAAAACAAAACCTGTGTATTCTGACATTCTGTCTAATCCACCGAAACAGTATATTCATCAGATTGTCAGAACCAACAGGTTTCATTCTATACTGAAATGAGCAGAAGTACTCCTACTGTAATATATATATATACACAGCAGTATCTCTATTACCAAGTCCAGTTAGGAGTGGAAATATTTATAAATATGGCTAAAATATATATCACAGATACGCAGAATAAAATCAATACACACAGTGTATATCTACAGCAATATATATATATATACTGCATTACACCAAGTAGGACCTACCCCAAAGTTAGCAGGTCCAACAATATATTGTCAATCTGATAAAATATTCTTTAATAAGGTCAAGCACACAAAATGGCAGCTACATATGACAGCAGAATACTTCCATTGTGATACCTCAAAGTATTTGCAATTAAATTGTATAATCTGTGATGACCAATTAAAACTTCAATGTATGTTTAAGTTCAAATTCTAATTAAGAAAAAATAATTGATATGAAAATTCTTTTCTTGAAATGTTAAGTGGAAAAAAAATCAAAAGAATATCAAATTTGAAATCTTAACTGTTTTGAATTTATTGAGGGCAGTTAGATGTCCTACTGACTCACTATTGAGAAACAATATATCTATAGATCTGAAGTAATATTGACATGGCTTTGGAAAAAAACCCTTATCTTATACATAAGATGATAAATAGAATATATATATCATTGAAAATGGTAATCAAATTATCAACAGAAACAAAAAACAAAAAAAATACAATTCAAAGCATTTTGAGTGTTGTTTGCAGATTTGAAATGACAGGAATATAAAGTCTTACTTCCCCTACTAATCAAGTGTGGCATATGAATACATACTATGATCTTTTTTCTTCTATTTCACATTTTCCTTGTTTACTCAAAATCAACAAGGAGAAAAGTTATTATTTTAATTGATTAATTAATTGTTTCAAGGGTCTTAAATCAATAAAACTATTGAATAATCCATTTCCAATTTCAATATGATGTGTTCACTTTTCCCCTACTTTTATTAGTATTAACCTAACCTTTTTTTACAGAAAAACTGGATGAAAATGAAATACCAGTAGTCAATTTCAGAGATGAAAAAATCATATCATTACACATCAATATATCATAACTGGGTCATTTAATCTACTTTTAAAATAGAAAGAATTTTCATTAAAAAATCAAAACAAAAAGTACCACCCTTTTACCAGAAGGGAGATAACTCTTAAAGTATTGAGATTGTAAATGAGATTACAGGACTAACAATACATTTAAGTCACGAAAATTGGAAGTAAGACTTAACTGCCAACATATCAAATGTCTAGAAATCTTGATTTTGTTATAAAAAATTTTACTTAACAACAATCTAGCTATAGACAGACACATTATTTGCTTTGTAGACTATTGTTACACAATAAAAACATTTTTTCTAAGGTCTCTATAAATGTAAAATTTAAGACTTGCAACATATCAAATAAAATCATTCACAAGAAGAGTTGTAGTTCGGAATGTGGAGATTACGAAATTATCTCCCCTTATTAAGTTTAAATAGCTACAACTCCTAGCTATTCACTTACAATATCCTTGTCCAGATCCTTCATAGTCTAGTAGAAGAATCTATGGTCTTAGTATTAAAGAAATGATAGCCAATCAACGAATGTATTTTCAAGTCAAGTAAAAAACAAAGCATTTATGTTGTTTACTACTTCTGTGGATGATTTTTCCAATAAATTCCTGTTTATTTATTGTACACCAATTTTATTGGATAAAATGAATTTTGTTGAAATCAGATACAGGAATATTTGAGTAAAATGATTTTAAAATGAACAAGTGTACAGAAATCTGTCCACATGCAGTCTATGCTATGATAGTAGTGTAATGTGTATAATAGCTTATTTCAGTAACATATCTGTACCTAAACAATTTTTACTATGATAAATGTTGGCACGTGAGAGGTCTTTCTACCTATTTATAAATGTCCACATCCATCACTTACTATCTTTATGGCTATTTGTAGACATTGGCTACCATCTAGTTTTATCCTAAAGGGTATTCATCATATCAACTATGTATGCTAACTTTTCTCTTAAAATTCATGTTTGTCATAAAATTAGTGCTTAATTGGATTTTTCTGGTGTATATATAACACTGATGTCTGTCTTACATTTCTGTGCTAATTTTTGTTTTAAAAACCAAACATGATCAGGAACAGTCTCCAAGGAATTAGCTTTACCAATAATGCGTGAGTGTTACTTCACCATGTTTGGGAGATGACAAATACAGCTCCCAGGTAAATTTGGCTTCATTCTGTTGAAGTGCAATTTTTTCACCTTATCTGCCAGATATTGTCAGGCATGTGCACAATCACAGCTCCCCTGGGCCTCACAATGAATTGTCTCCAATTGTTACGGCAAATGATTGCATCCAAACATGAAAGTTAACACTTAAGAAATATAATGAAAATAATGGTCATGTTGTTTTTGTTGACACTCACCAATCCTTAATTGTGATATTACTAATTCCTGGTTCTGTATTTGTAACAAAGCAATACATTGGTTGACATATTATGACTCGTCAACTCTTGTGACATCACTAACACATACCTGATTCAGTATGTGTAATCATTCAACATATTGGTTCTTCATGTAGTAATTTCACCGTCACACCTCAAACATAACTAGGTTGCTGGCGAGATTTTTTAATATCTGGGCTATATTTTATATAGGGTTTAATTTCTGCCGTCATTGTCACTGGTTTGGAATACCTGTAAGAAGATGGAGCTTTCTGCTTCTCCGCAGTGTCCATGTGCCTTACAGAAGCACGCAATTGTTCCAGGGGAGGCAACTGCTGATGGTAAGGATCAGGACTATTTGTGGTCAACCTCTGGTTGCTAAGGGAGTACTGAGTCTGTGTGCGTAGTAAGGGAGACATTGTTTGTGGACTCACAAATTTGCCACCATTGACCTTGAGTACCATTCGTGATTTGTTACGACTTTCGTTAATTCGGTGTACAACAGAACCTTTACAGAGCCTCTCTTTATTGTACATCAGAGCTCGCCGTGTTTCTTTGTCCATTGTTTTGTCACTCTTTGGTCGAACAGCCAGACTTCCAGTACACTCTACACCCTCAATTAGGGCAAGGTCATCTTGTATGTTCTCATTGTATCCGTTCATAACTGTTTTTTTGTCCAGAATGAGTGACTGTCGTGTAGAGCTACGTATGCTCATGGATTTTCCTGTCTGCCGTGAAACACTGCGTGTGGTTGCACTGTCAATCCTATCAAACTTTCCAGAATTCATTTGCTTCCTGTTGATGAGCATCCTGTGAAGTTTGTCATTGGTTCGGGACGACATGACTGACACTGTGCTCATGTTTGGCGCTTCTGATAAAGTGTTAATCTGTATCGGCTCAAAGTATACATTACCATTGTAGCCATTCCAAGCCTGCAATAGACAACATCTAATCGTTATCATATTTAATAACACTAAGTAAACAATGTGTTAACAGCCTGATGAATTTTAAATGTATGTAAACTTCCTTGAGATTAAATCTTTAAAGAAGCATTTATCAAAAATTCCTACAGATTCACCGGTATCATGTGTTATATACCATAACTCTTTCGCTTGAACACAAGTCACAGGTATAATTGTGCAGTACCATAACACCTGAACTTTAGCATAAATCGCAGGTAAGAAGTGTAAGGTAGGATAACACCTTAAGCACAAATCATCAGTATGATGTGTAAAGTACTATAACACTTTAACTCTAGCATAGATTATAGGTATGATGTGTCAGGTACCATAACACCTTAAGTCTAAACACAAATCACACATGTGATGTATAAGGTACCATAACACCTTAAGTCTAAACACAAATCACACATGTGATGTATAAGGTACCATAGCACCTTAAGTCTAAACACAAATCACACATGTGATGTATAAGGTACCACAACACCTTAAGTCTAAACACAAATCACAAATCATACATTGAATTTTAAAATTCTTAACACATGTATCATACTCTTTGTCCCTAACCCCTTTTTTCTAATATTTTGAGGTCAAATTTCACAAAAAAAGTTCTAAGGACAAGCTTACCTTGAGGGGTGGCATGGGCCTTGGCTTTTCTTGTGTGACATAATAATACTGAGGTACATGTACACCAAACACCTCACCCTTCCCTAACGTCATCTCTCCGGCGCCTGGCCCTGTACTGGTACAACGTGCAGATAGTAATGTCATGGCTCTCTTGAACATGGCCTCACGTGACTCAGAGGTCACTCTGGAAGCATTTCTGAAAGTAAAATGTCAAATATTAAATAGCATATTGTCAAGGACATTTTGTTTTCTTCCAAATTGGAAAAAAATCAAACAAAAAAACAAAAAGAAAATTGAAAAATAAGAATATGATTTGATTTCGGCAGAGACTAAAATATTCTACAACAGTTGTGTCTCTACTACAGATTCAGCATTGACCATACACTTGTAGTTGATGAAAGCTCCATACTCCTCCTAAACTTCAAGTTATTTTCACAGTATTGATATAATTCATACAACTTTCACGATGTATAGTGTATTTCAATTTGCAACTAATAATGCCAGTGAATCTTCCTATATAGACAAATTGCAATATACTTTTCCATCACAAATCACAAATTCAATGTGCCATAAAAATTATTTGCTTTTCACCTAAACATAAAACATAAATAGATGCATCCCTGAAAATTTGATTTTAAAATCTCTCCTGTAATAATTGAATTAAAGTTCATCTGATTAAACACATTCTCCAGTGCATGTAAATCAGTGCAGTAAAAAAATTCAAGTGTCAAAACAGAATATTTACTTTAGTTGAGGGTTATGTTAAAATTGTGAACCTTACACAAAAACCTCTCATTTAAAGATCAAATCTGTTAATATGAATACCATCTAGTAAGGGAGTACCCAAAGAGTTTTCAATGCAGAAATTCACAAACCAATTTAGAGCTAGTTTTTCAAAGTTCGTTTAAAATTATCTTAGGTTATTTTCAAAAAAAGAATTCTATAGCCATTTTGAAAGGGATACTGCTGTGTTGATGGTGTAACAACAGGACACTGTAATCTGGGCAGATCTAAGCCTGTGATTATCCTACCAGTAATTAGTGAGATTCTTTGTTGTTAATGTAGGTTTGAAATAGGGAATCTAACTTTGATGTAGATTGAAATATTCTACTGAAAACAGATCTTATAATTCAATCACATTTAGCATTCCATGAATTCTTTTTCTCCGATTTTTTCCTTTTTTTTTTAAACATTGAGTTCCACAACATGATAATGATACAATAAAATTAAATATCTTATTATCATAAATCATATATTGATTGAGTTAAACTAATTATCAACAAATTTATCAGAATGTATGTAATTTACGATTAAATTCTAAGATTATCATTGTGATATATTTTGATAAAAAGTCCCTAAAATTCACAATTTAAAGAATCCAGGTTGAAAGCAGAGAGAGTAATTAACAGACAGAACAAAGCATGTAGCTGACACATGTACAATACTCCAATGTAACCTGCAGTCATGAAGTTTACTTGTATTTAATTCTAAATCATATCCCTAAGCCCTCTTTAATACTTGCTAAGATTAATCAATTTGAATTATTATTCCCAGGATTAAGTCATTTCAAGTATCATTCTTATCAAAGTCTTTTCAAAATATCAGCAAACGATGTGTTTCTTTGCGTAAAATACATCCTTGAGTTGTATGTTTGCGTTTCAGGTAAAATATTTTGTAAACATTTTATACACTTTCCATTACCTTTGTGTTTCATTAAGAATTTGGAGTGTTGTCCCAGTAAATTTCAAGGTGTTAACTTTTCATGCAGTAGATTAAAAACCAACAATGTTCTAATCTTAATTCAATTAGAAAAGAGCTTATGGAAAAGACTTGAAACATAAGACTTCAAGAAAATTACAGTTGATGAAGATTTTATCAGAATGGAAATCTCATGATATCCATAGAAAAAGAGGCTCAGTTTGGTATGCCACAAATCTATGTAAGAGAATGAGGCTAAGATTGGTAGTTCTCAGATCTCGATAAGAAAATGAGGCCCAGTTTGGTATGCCTCAGATTGGTATGTCTAAGATCACATAAGAAAATGAGGCCCAGTTTGGTATGCCTCAGATTGGTATGTCTAAGATCACATAAGAAAATGAGGCCCAGTTTGGTATGCCTTAGATTGGTATGTCTAAGATCTACATAAAAAAATGAGGCCCAGTTTGGTATGCCTCAGATTGGTATGTCTAAGATCACATAAGAAAATGAGGCCCAGTTTGGTATGCCTCAGATTGGTATGTCTAAGATCACATAAGAAAATGAGGCTCAGTTTGGTATGCCTCAGATTGGTATGTCTAAGATCACATAAGAAAATGAGGCCCAGTTTGGTATGCCTCAGATTGGTATGTCTAAGATCACATAAGAAAATGAGGCCCAGTTTGGTATGCCTCAGATTGGTATGTCTAAGATCACATAAGAAAATGAGGCCCAGTTTGGTATGCCTCAGATCTAGGTAGGTTTGATGCCTGTTAGTATGGCTCGTGGTTTTAATGTCATTCCCCTGGGCTTTAGTTTAGGAACATGCCATTTCACTGATTAACCTAAATTAGATATGATGCTTACCCTTCTTAAACACACAGTATTCCTCAAACATCTATTCTGTATAGTTTCCCTTTTATTTATAATTTAAGCATTTGTTTCATTAACTTGAAATTTGTGTCATCTGTTTTTCTGTAATTCATGAAATTTGATCTACTTTCTGGGTTTAGAACCCCATGAATAGCCAGGATCATTTTGAGGTGGAGACTCTCCATGTAGTAGCTGGTAACTTCCTTACTGAACAACATATTGGGCAGTAATTGAGCTCTGAAGTATACTCTCCTCAAGCTACTTCAGTCAGAACCTATAGATCAGGACATTAAAGTAACCTACCCCGTCGATATTGTAACATTCACTATACATGTAATATAATTTTAGGAATTTTGGGTTAGTATAAAGTTTTGTACCTATGATGGAATGTCCTTGAAATCTGTTAAGCACAAATATAGATAAAAGATAAGCAAGGGTAGGTCATAAAACATTTGTTATAATAAATACACAACCTCAGGTATCCAGGTATGCAAAGTCAAGAGTTTAATTCAAGGTTTGAAAGAAACATATGTGTGACCAAATATAAAAATAAGCATTAATAAACTTTAAACCTTAATTCTTATCTCTAGACCAGGTTGACATCCCCGATCAATGAGCATGTCATGTGTTTCTCCATTATTCCCCCTGAGCTATATACATTACTTAACCTTGCTATTTCTATTATTTCCCATGAGACCTCCGTTATCTCCCCTTGAGTTCTCATTTATCTCCCCTTGATATCTTCATTCTCTCCCTCTTTCTATCTCCATTACCTCCCCTTGATATTTCAATTATTTCCCTTTGAGATCTCCATTAAGTCCCCTTGATATTTCCATTATTTCCCCTAGAGATCTCCATTATCTCCCCTTGATATTTCCATTATTTCCCCCGTGATATTTCCCTTAACTCCCCTTGATATCTCCATTCCATCCCTTTACTTTCACACTCTTCTCTCACACGGTCCAAAATACTTCCCTACCTATTAGATACAAAATCTGTGGTATTTTTAATGAGGAAATATTATATTTCAACATTTTAAATACAAAAATAATTAATGCCAGCCATTTAAATAAGCACCAGCTTTGTCAGCTCAAAAAGCTCCTTCAGAAGAAGTACATGTACAGCTAATTCTACTTAATGTCATAAATATCAGATCAGTTTGTATCAGCTGAAACAAAGTTTTCCATTATGACAAAAGTGGATTGTTCTTCAGTATCTTAATCTCAATATATGTACCTACCAGCAAGGACAAATTTGATTAGAAATCAAACTTCAATTGTAATAAAGAAAATTTGTGCTACTGTTTATGTAACATTTCTCTTTATATCACATGACATTCAATTGCATATTTGTACATATCAATGAAAACTTTGCAGAGACTTTCATTTAAACTTACAGCTGGAAATAATTAAATCCGTGCTTCATAATAAGCCCATTCATATCTTTGCTGTTTGATACCTTTAGTAACATATGCTGTATTAAGTCCATGACCTTGACTTTCAGGTTGTTGGCTGCTTTTTTATGCTTTGAATTTTCATTCTAGATAATCCAACATGTTTGAAAAAAGCTATGCAACAGTACTTGAGCATTTTCATCTACAAATCAATTTTAAAAAATCCAATATTACAAATAACTGACATGAAAAAAATGATATCCTACCTGAATTCCGTAGCTAAAGAAACTGGATAAAAGAACATTGTCAAAAATGTGTTATCTTATTCCAGCAATGGAAGCCCTTCACACCTTACACGTTGTTTCCATTAAACATGCGAGGATCGATAGAGAACTTCACCACCCGAGAACAATGGAGTTACTTTATAGAATTCACTCTGGCTGATATAGACTGTATAGAAACTCTCAATATCATTCAAATCAAACACTTCAGTATCACCTAGATGAGATAATGCTAAAATGAAAAGTGCTGTGGAAATTTGAAAGTGTTTTATGAATTCCATAAGTGTTCTGTCCGGGAGATCTGGGACCAGTAGATAGTGATAATTCTTCTGAGTGTGATACACGGAAAAACATGTTGTCCATTAATCCTCGTCTAATATGCTGGGACTTTGATATCGTGTTTGGGATTTTCTATGGCCAACATTCCCTTGTAAATATCAGAGCACAGACATAGTTTTGGGGAATGGTGGCTACAAAGCCCTGCTAAGGTTCCTCACTTTAGTAGATGTATTTACACACAGAAATCTATGTGTGTACTGAGTGCTTTATATATTGATTTATAGATTTTATAAAAATCAATATCTACCTGTAATCCAGGAATTATAAGGAAAATCTGTAACAAGTTTTTTTGTGCTTTTTTCTTTTTCTGTTGTCATTGTCAAATAACAATTCAATTTGTCAAATAATCATTTTAAGATATTGAATTCATGTTTAGTCAGCTGACATTTTGAATTTGCTATTCTGTTGAGCAAAAGCTTTGTATTTTATATTCCCAGTATACATCATATTTGAATTTCAACTCTATTTTATCAATAAACATATACATGCACCTGAATTCACAATGTTCACAATTACATCTCTTTTGATACCTATATTGAATACCCATCAAAAACCATTTCGTGGTATATGTGTATCAGAATAAAGAAAAATCCAGAAACAGACCTCAAGTGGAAA